CCATGAGATCTTTAAAATCATCGACACTCGTCTGCATGCCAGCGGTAACACGTGCTCAAAAATTCATGAGCGTTGGGCATCCGTGATGATTTCGTCGCCATTTGTAACGACTTCCTGACGATGTTTTCCACAACGACGATCACTGCACTTGCGTAATCTGTTCCAGCAGGGACGAGAAATCCACGATAAGTGCATACTGCCGCAGGTAGATCCACAAATACAGCGTCTGACTGGTAAGCGGCGTCGAGTAGAGCTTCGTGGGTAGCTGGTCCCGTATCTTGGATAAGCGTAAGTATCGCAACAGGGCCTTGATCACCTTGATCACATTCGTAGCGCAGTTGATAGCTAGTGCAACCTCCTTGAAAGCAGGATCTCACCGAACACGCCGTCGGTGGTTATATTCAGCGCCACAGCAATCACAGAGAAGATTTTTTTTAGTGTATCGGTCAAGCAATCTCCATTTTGAGGAGTCGGATCTCGTTTTGTTGCAAAACACCTTCGTCTTCAATATCAAGGGCGCATGATTTCACTATTTTAATTTCAAATTCACTTAATTATCACTTACTCGTTAAAATCACTCACTTGTTGTTTTGGAGCGTTTTAGCTTACGTTGATCCGCACATGCATTTCGATGTGACCTCCCTCAGACGACCGTGGGATCCAAAGCACCAATGAGCCACCCCCTGATCCAGGCAAACCCAAAAGACCAGGACGCCAGCGGTCGATGTACATGGTTTTATCTTGCAGCTCTGGAATCGTGGCATCTTACGTGACCATATCTCCTGCTGCAACACCAACTTCTGCGTATTTATCTCCTCCTGAATGAATCACAATTGTCACATCTTCAGTGTCCACACTCTTCAAAAAAATGAGGTGGACAACGCCATCTCCTCTCTTCGTCCACGTTCCGTAGCTTCCTACCAAGGCTTCGTCCACCGTCGTAAGACCAAGAGCGTCATCAAGCCTTCCGTCATCAATCTCGCCAAGATACGCCGTGGGACCACAAATCGGTTGCACGAACTGCGAAGCCATGTACGCTATACCCGTAGGATCGATCGCAGATAGCGCAACAAGCCCCATGTTCGAGACCTTCAGCATATACTCGCCTTCTGCAACCGATTCTCCCATATCAGTAGTACCCGTTTCAATAAGCTGGTCGATGATAACGCCAAAGGTTTTTCGAAGCAAATCGCGCGTCTCAAATGCTGCTGTTACCGTCTTGTTGTATAGAAGTTCGCCCATACGGTAATTCGTGACGGCTGGAATATCATTCAGAACAATCGCAGAGTTGTATACGCTCACTCGGACATCATCCACAGCACCTGGTGTGTTACTGCGTACTTCGTTAATCACGCGAACGACTATATCCGTTAGATGTTTGAGTTCGTAGCCGCAACTGGAGTTTGTATCAATGAGATTTTGAAGCTCATCGACAGTAGAATCGGTCGTATTCAGTGCACCAGTGCCCGTAAGCAAGCTAAGAACATTTTCTCCTGTCGATATAATCTCGTCACCGTTAGTAATGGCTTGTTTCACAATACCTTTCACGACCTTGAGCACTGTAGACGCGTATTTCGCGTTAGCAGGGACGGGAATTCCCTGACAAGTACACACAGCGATAGGGAGATCGTAAACTACCACGTCAGTCTGGTAGGCCACAGCCAGAAGCTCTGCTGTATCTCCTTGAGGAGCTGCAGTTTGTCGATACCGGAGGTAATATATGAGTCCTCGAATCACAGTGATGATATTTGCCACACACGTAATAGCCCACTTGGCCGTCTTGTACGCAGCCAGAACTTCTCCAAAGACACCAACAGTGGAAGCATTAAGAGCCACTGCAACGACAGAACCGATCTTGGAAAGTGTCTCAAGAGCACAGTCGTCATTTTGAGGAATACACTCCAGAGAGCAGGAAACAGGGTACGATAATGGACATTGCGCGATACAGTCGTCTCCATCCTTGCCGTAACCCAATGGACAAATGTTGGTACTGTTGAACGCTACCGATTTACGGTAACACGCTGTGTCATCAGCCACGCCAATCGTTGACCCCACCCAGTTACGGATCGCTCTAGATCCGTACGTAAGACTGTCCCCTCTACGTCAGTAAGTGCAAGATCTGTGGCCGATAATCTCGTTCAGATCGCTCCAAGTTGATCGACTTCAGCTTCTGCGCGTCCATAGAATCCCGCAAGTTGGAAGCCATCGGGTGCAGTAGCAGTGGCTTTATTTTCAGTCGGCGTTATCGAGATACCAGCACTCGTCACAAAATTTAGATAGAATACTCTCGTGTGGTCATCCTTCTTCTCCCAATGAGTCTCCATCGATGTTCTCTCGGTCCCACCAGAGCCTCCATGGTTCATCGTCACCTCTTCGGGAGATTTAATCTGTAATGTCACGGCATCTATCTGCACGAACCGTAATCGACGTTATAACTTGCTCGAACTTGATCGAGTTGATGTCGGAGAATGCAACACCATGTGGACCACCGTACAAGTCACTGAGTACAATATCACTGTCGGATACGGTCGTGTCTGAAGTACTTTCTTCGACAGCTTCAATACTCGATCCACTCTTACATAGTATATCCCATATCCGTCTAAGTGGATCCAGGTAAGGGTGGATCCGAGATAGGTCTTGGTGGATCTTGCCTTCTCGTACATCGCTCATACCAGATCCATCGTCATTCCATACGGGGTGCTGTGGATCCTATGAAGGAATGATGGTAGGTGCCACCTGAAGGTGGATCTAGTAGCCACGGTTAACAAGAAGTCAGGATCCACCGCGAGGTGCCCCGGATCCCATACTTCCGAGTTCGGATCCAAGGAGGGAGGATCCCGCATAGAGGGACCCGGATCCAGGATAAAGGGATGATGGATGCAGTGGATCTCAAACTTTCGTGGGACAATGGAGTTCACAGACGGCTGCAAGACGATGTTGGATGATTGGAGAGCTCAGATCCATGACGAGTGTACACTTACAGTGAGGTGGATCCAAGGGACCTGGATCCGGATGAGTGTACCCATAATAGAGTGACCATAATGATTACGTCATGGATCCGGTAGATCTGAAGATAACACAGCTGGGATGATGGGTCAAGGGAAGAAGGGACATGCAGCCGAGCCGGGTAAGGGATTTAGCAGGTGAAAGACATAGAAGGTAGAAATCCAGGCAGGTATAGGCTTAAATATCAATACAGACTTCTATTTGCACGATAACACGCAAGTGCCTTCCTGCCCTCAAGAACCGGAACTACATTGGCCGTACGAGCTCGGAGAAGGTTGGGAATTGCGAGCCTAGTGTTGGTAGTGATAACTGGATAATACATTGGCCCGATCCTACAACCTATTGAGCTTTTCCTATACACGTGCAGATCCAACAGGCTAACCGAATTACTACTTGGTCGGTTACACCCTAGAAGATCTCAACTCTCAAGATCCCGTCACAGGAGGCGGCAAGTATAACGCAAAGGAACTACAAAGGCAAGTAAACACACCCGCAAGGCAACCCTACAGCCAGATCCACGATCTAGGCCCCGAATCTATAAGCTCGAATATTCGCTTAGGATACGGAACCATCCACGGACGCAGAGTGATGATTTTCCACTGCTGCTCCACCCCATCCCCACGTCTCGCCAAGACACTCAAGCTTCACCACTTGAGCTCTTCGGAAGTTACCGAGAGAGCAAGATCCCGCCCTACCGACGGGTACACAAGGTGAGGAAAGTTCAGCAGAACACGGATCATCGGGGGACCCCCTCCGTTAGTCGGTGTCTGGGCGCAGTTGGTAAGTTGGATCTGGCAATCTCGCAGATTTTGCTGATCCCGCTACACCACAATGGTGCGCGTGCCCGGATCTTTGGGTGACTCGGGATTTCACCGTGTGTCCCAAGAAGATGCTCAAGTGAAGATTGAGCCAGGGGAAGAGGTGTCGTCGGAGGTCGGATCGACGAAGACGCTGCTAAATGAAACAAGATCCGCGGATCGATGGAGTTTTGGGAGGAACTCTGTCGACGGAAGAGAGGTGGATCCGGATCCGGATCTAGAAGAAAAACCTCTCTATCCTCCCCAGGTCCCCTCGGGGACCCCTGCGGATCTTGACGCAAGTCAATATCCGCTAACAAAACAAGGGAAAGTGAAGACGAAACGGTATGCATTTGCAGATTCACCGGTTAAGCCAACACCGTACCTAAACCTAAGCCCGCTAGTCGAAGAAACGAGAAAGAAGACGAAAACGAGTAAGACTACGCGGAAGAAGATGCAAGCTCCAGAGTCGGAAGAAGACCAAGCTGGATCCAGGTCAAGCTGGTCCGACAAGGATCTCGAGTTTGTGTATCGCCACCAAGCTTTACGCGACTTCCTGCATCAAGATCCTGTCATGCAGATCCTGAATACACGACAGATCGAAGATCCAAGGGAACCGGTGAGAGCACCAACGAAAACGGCGAACAAAAAATTTAAAGCTAAAAACAAGCTAAAAACAGTGGAGGATCAGTGTCAGTGAGTGACACAGCTTAATTAATCCTATCAAACAGCATTCATGCAGCGGTCCAAGATTTTTTACTTCAGTTCCATAAATGATGAACGTTCCGCTATCTCAGTGGCCCGCCCCGAAGGTGTCGCGCTTGTGGTCGGCCAAGGGCGACGATCGCTGCTCTCCGCCGCGCTCTGACGACTACAAGGACTGGACTCTTATGCAACTCAAGCGCGAGATCACTCAGCGCCAGCTGAAGACCAACCCACGCCGCCGCAACAAGGAAGCGTTCGTGCGTGTATTGCTCGCGAACGACCAAGAACAGGCGCAAGCTCAGACGCAGAACGCCCCTCAGAACCAGCAGCATACACTAGAAGAGTCCGTCATGTTTGTCCCCGCTTCGAGCTCTGAACTCCAGAATATATACGTCAATAACGGAGACCGACAACAAGAAATCTATGGGGTCAATACTTCTCATCAGCCGTCTCAACAGGAAGTATACGCCACAAATGGGGGCCAGCAACAACAACATCAACAGGACGTATATGGGAATAATACACCTCAGCAGCCTCCGCCGTCGAACCTCTATAACGGAGGTCAACAGCGACAAGATATGTATATGGAGCAACACCAGCAGCAAGAAGTGTATACAAACCCTGGAGAGCAGCCACCGAGTTTTATGGCTGGAAATGTCAATGTGGTGATGCAGTCTGCGTCATTGGAGCCTACGACTCCTGTACCTCAGATGCAGACGCCAATGGCAGTCGCCCCCGAGACATTGGAGACGGAGGTAGAAGCTCCTCCGAGCTTCGAGGCTTCAAAGAGACAGAGAGTGGAGCAAACCGAACACGAGAGTGAAGGGAGTGGAAATGCCTCAGATAGTAGGAGGTCCACGCCCTCAGTGCAACAGATACAAAGAGGGTCCACGGAGTATCTGAGACGGAAGTTGAGTATACAAGCAGCACGCTTGGAGATTGAGAGCAGACGATTGGACATTGATACCAAACGAGAGCAACGCAACAGCGAGTTGCATGCCGTGCAGCTCGCATTGGCGAGTGAGCAACTTCAACACGCCAAACTGACTACCCAGAAGATGAAAAATGAGTGGATGGTGGAGCAAATGATTCAAAAGAAGAGACTCAACGACGCGGGGATCTCACACGAGGACTCGGCAGCACTTGGAATGTATATGTCATGAGTTTGGAAGCGTGTACTTTATGTGTAGCCCAATTTGTATTATTTCTTAACGTCTCAGGAATTGTTTTTTAAAGTACTATTTTATCTCCGTTGGTGCTTGACAGAGGGGACCGCAGAATACGTCGATGCTGGCACCGTGGCGCGCATAAGTAACGGAGTAGGATAGCTGGAACGAGAGGAAACAGAAGCACCACTCGTGGACGCCTTGTACACTCTATCGATGAGTTTTTTTATACGAGACTTGGCGAGATTCGACAGCTCTCCGGAGGGCAACAACACGGCCGACTGCATGGAGGCTGCTTCCTGTGAAAACAGATCGGCTACTTGCTTCACGATCGTCTTGAATCGCTCTCGAGTCAACTTTCCAGAGCCTCCATGCTCCTTGTACAGAGGATACAGCTTGGCCTTGACATACTCGACAACAGTATCCGACCATCTAATAAAATACCTACACTTAGCAAATCACTAAAAAAAAATAAAAATAAAGCACGCACGCTTCTCGTTTCCGTTTGCCGTGTGCTCGTGCTGGACGCTTCGGTGAGGTAAATGCCTCAATTACGGGCAAGTTCTGGGCAGCGTTAACAGGCGACGATACTTGTTGAGTAACTTGAGGTGGTGGTGACTCAATCAGAGCTGGAGGGTTCAAATCTCGCCACTTCTCGCTAAGTTCGATAACTCGCTGTCGAATCTCGATACTGACGTCGGAAAGCTCGGAAAGACCGTCCAACGTGGCTTGTAAGCCTTCCTCCTATATTATTTTACATAATATATCAGTAAAAAAATAAAATAACAGCATACAACATGTGTACTTACCTCGACAAGGTCTTCTTTACGAACAGGAAGCGTCTCTAAGATACCGATAACAGCATCTAACACCTGTGGATTGGGTGCTGTAGAGCTGTCTCCATCTCGTTCTGGAACGCGAATCCACTCGTGCAAAACTGCCAGACAACCCACTTCAAGTGCCGCTGCCTTCTCCTTTTGATTCAGTCGACTGAAAAACGTTTTAACCCTCGATACCAGTCTCAATTTGGCTGTCTTGGGGATCAATAGCGACACGGACGACGCGTAATTGTCGTTGTTCACTGCATCTTGCATCAGTTTGGCGAGCTCGCAGTATTCCGGAGCAAACGTGTTCGACACGCGATTGTTGCGTTGATTGGGTCGTTTACTGCCGATTTCATTGAGCAAACTCGAGTCGCGCGTTGCGATCGCCGCCGCCGCGAGTTCTTGTCGACTTCGACTGTGATCTTTCCACATTTGATCGATGTTCGACGGCGTCGATGTCACTGTAGACCGTGTACCAAGAGCAGCATTTCCATTTCTCCGTCCATATAGAGAGGATTGCGTTAGATCGCCGCGGGCGAACATGGCATCTGCTCGTAGTTGCACTTGCATCAGTTCTCTCGACATACGCAGAGCATACGCCGCTGCGATGCCTCGCACCGGTCTTCGATCTTCTGCTTCTTCTACTGCAACAAAACCTGACGGTCCGCGCCTTCGCGATCTTGTGGACGTTGATCCGCTACGTCCACGCAGCACATTCGACATTAAACTGGCCAATCGCCGTGTCCGACGTCGTGTAGACACCGTCGTGGCTGGTCGTTCAATCGCATCGCTAGCTCTCTGCTGAGTTGTGGCGTGACTAGAGCAGTACCATGATGTATTAGGTACCGATCGTAGTCCGATACAGTACGTGTGGTTGGCTACGCCACAGCCCAACGCTTCGCACAGTAGCAGCACATGTTCATCCTCGCCAGAGCCACAAAGTTCGCATCTTGCTTGGTTTACCAGACGCAATTGAGCGGCAATATCGTGGTCGGATGGGTCTGGTCGATAAACTTGTTTGACGTCCGTGATAACCTCGCGATGCACCACTGCACCCTGTGCGTCCTGTCGAGTGACTGAGCTGAACTTGGTCTTGCATAGTGGACACAAGTTGGTCACTTTGGCCCAAGCCACGATGCAGTCGAAGTGGAAACGGTGGTCGCAGCTGGACAGATGACCTTGTTTCAGAATATCTACCACGTCCTGGCAGATGCAGCACTACAAGAAACATTACAATTAAGCATTAGTTTATCGAACGGCACACTTTGCTCGCTTACGTTTGACTCTATAATTTAATAGAACAGCAACTCACAGCGTCCTCGTCGGTGCTCTCCAAAACATACTCATCTTCATCGTGCTCTCCCTTGTGTTCTTCGTCCTCGTTGTCGCTCTCCGCGAGCTCAATCACCTCCGGAACGCGTCGCTTCTCCTCGTCCGCCATGTTCCTTTTTGGCATTGAACAACAGATCCCGTTACGATGTGATTGGCTGAAAGTCATTTTCTACCAATCAGAGGGATTTCCCTTGAATCCATCAGCAATATCGATGTTGCTCATAATGCGCGACTTGTGCAGGCGTGTGTCGCTGTTGCTGTGTCTGCTGCTGGCTGTGCATCTTCACAAAGTTTCCTCCGACTCAGAGAGCGAAAATCCTGGCTCTTTACGCAGTTTAGCGCCCAAGATCGACCAGGACGCTCCTGTAGACGCTGCACCGCCCGTGTTCTGTCTCGACTTGGGCGTGGAAATCGCATTCCCCAGTCGCGACGTGGTGGACGCGATGGGCAGCGAGACACAAGCGTCCGCCGGTAGTGGCTGTCTTCGCAGCTCACCTATGAACGCGGTTATGGGCCACTTAAAATCGTCCTTAAGGACATATTCACTACACGCAGTGGACTGCGTCTTCGAGCCGATGGACGTCGAATCGTCCACCATCGCGCTGATGGGCATTGCGTCGCTATGTTCGAGGTCCAATATGGACGTCGAAGAGGACATGGACACCTGGGGACGTGAAGCGAAGCGCCAAGTGGACCAATTATTCGAAACCGAGAAGAGAATCTCCTTGGATCAAACTACTGGAATGGTCCGACACGTACCGATCTCTCCCGCTTATGAACTACCCACTAGTGGCAGTGGATTGCCACAGTTTATACTAGGCGAGACGGTGATTTGGTCTGACAATGAAGGAGAGAAACAGGAAGCAAAGGACCAAAGTTTCTTCACACATGTACAGTTGCATGTCAAGAATGACGGGAAGACGCCGTTGCATTTGTATCGACTTACATTGGTGGAGAAGAGCCAAGAACCTGTAGAACAGGGCTTCGTACTGCCCTTAGTAGCCCCGGCAGTGGTGCAGCCAGACACGAGTGAGGTCGTGTCGTTCAAGGCGATTACTGGCGCTGCAGTGGACGCGTCGAAGAGCTATTTGCTGTATATTTCGCACAGTGGCTTCCGCTCACATGTGTTTGAAGGTATTCTGGATGGGAGGGCATTCTTATCAAGAGAAGAAGCTGTACAGCCTCAAGGCGAAGACGGGCTCTTTGATCGCTTCTCGCTGGATTCGGCCAATGGGCCGTCGCTGTTTACATCGTTTCCCTATGCGACCTGGCAAGGTATTTTGCTCTTGATATTATAACTGGATGCTCTGACTTTGTATTATTCTCGTCTTTGAAGTTGGATCTATGGCAATTGCGGTGGCGGTGGGGCTTGCGGTGACGTTGTATATTCGACGCAAGAGACCGAGCGTTCGTCTCATGGGCCATGTGGCAACTAGCTGTCTCAGATCGCCGAGTAAAACAGGAGGAACGGGAGGTCGAACCTCAGCCAAACCGATTTCAAACCGTGTAGCTTCCAGTCGCGCTGCGATATCAGAAAGAGGAGAAGACCATATTGAAATGGAGAGGTACGACTTAATAGGACAGCTATAGTGTGGGGTTTCGGCTTTAAACGTGTCTCTTGCAGCCTCATCACAAAGCCGAAGGATTCGAGGAGCGACTCCAACGCCTCATTTAAGCTGCCAACGCCACCTCGTTCAAGGTATTGCTCCTGCCATTTACTGCTGTCGAAATGTTCTCATACGAATGGGTTATTTATTCCTCGTAGAATGCCTGCAATCACTATGAAGTGGAGAGCACCGCCACCGCCGATTCAAAGCTCTGATACTGGAACCAACAAGACATCACTAGCCATCCCGAGAGCGCTGGAAACACATAAGCTGCTCTTGGATCTCGACCGCAAAGCCAGACTTCATCCGAAACGCTTTGAAAGCATGTGGGACGAATACGTCGAGAGGTTTGTGCCCAGTAATCAAGCTCATGTCTTTCTTTACTTGAGTAAATTAACGTTTTGATACGTAGACTCCAGAGCGAACTACCTGACACCAACCGACCAGACTCCGACACGTTACTGAACAACATGAAGACGCATGGGATCTCGTGCATGGCCAGCGGGACTGTCAATGGGGTGGAAAAGTACGTCTTTTACGCCAAGCAACGCGAGAAGGCGTGGTTCTTCTTGGCCACCGTGGATGTCACGGTAGCCACTGCAACTACAGTACTGACCGTGCGAGCTAGTAGCGATGCCGCTGAAGATCTCGTATCACAACTCGTTCATCTGCTGAAGACAACAATCGCTCATTCGGTTTCTGGATAACCCAAGACGGCAAAGGCAAGAGAAATGTATTCAATGTAATATACGCTGCATGAAGACACGTCTTCCACACGCTGTTTAAAGAGCCAACACTCTTAAGCGGAGCTCAAGAGTCCCGTGATCACAGCGTCCATGTCGCCTTCGTGCTGCGATAGCAGAGCCACGTTGTGCGTCTTGTCCGTGAAGCCCATGTCGGCCAATGCCTGAAGTTCGTTCGTCCATCGCGGTTCCTCTTCGTCCTGCTGGTTTACCACTGCAGCAGGCGCCGGAACATTCACAGACGCGCCTGCAGTCGAGATGATGGCTGCAGGAGCGTCGATACGAACCTCCTTCGTGTCGACGGCAACAGTGGCCGGTTCTTCGGGCTCCATCACGTTAATGTCCACCCAGAGACGCTGGCCGAACCGGTTACCGTCCGGGGTACTCAGACGCCAGTAGCCAGTGTACCGGCCAGCCTTGGCCGGCGCCACCATACGTAGCGACACGTCGATAGACTTGCCAGGCAGCACGGAAGGGATCAACACGCTCTCTGGGGCCTGCATTTTGTCACCTCCCACACACGAGAGCACAGCTCCGATGGGCCACTTGTTGGGGCCACCATTGCTGAGCTTCCACACCTTGTCAAAGGCCTCTCCTGGAGCCAGTACCGTGCCGTCCGGACACGTGACGTCGCCTTCGAATACGGCCACAACGGGGCCCAAGTCTTGCTTGGTTTCTTCGATGTTAATAGTCTCAAAGTAGTCACTAGCAGACATGAGTTGCGCGTTGTGACTGTGCTGCACTTGCTGCAACACGCGTTCCACCTGTACACGGGCGTTTGGGCACTTAGCCAACAGGATGTTGGCCACTTGCTCCAAGTCTGCCGTGCCGGCCACGGCTACGATACATCCCACAAAGTTGCCGTTCTTCTGGAACTCCTCCATGACTTTCTGGAACAGTGAGGCGAACTTGGTGTTGGCCATGATCTCCATGAGCGCCTCCTGGCAGCCGGGTTCATGTAGTAGTGACACTAGGTCTTTCTTGAGCATCTGGTGCTCGGCACTGGCCTGCCACTTGTCCACTATCTTACCGAGATCCACGAATAGGTCCGACATTTTCTTCTTCTGCTGGCTGGCCAGCATCTCCTCGACGTCACCGGGTAGAACGTTGACAACGGAGCTGTTGCTAGCGTCCATGGCCAGATTGGCCGAGGTCTGCAGCGGCTCTCTGGCCACCACAATGATCTTGCACACGGCGTTGTCGGCGTCTTTGCCGGCGGCCACGGCCAGCTCGCGCATGAGGCGGAAGGCCTCGTCCAGTTCGGCGTCGTTGGTAATACGCACTTGCTCGCTGTCGTCGTCAATGTAGTAGAGTAGAAGCTCGACGTCCTTCAGCTCCGGGAAGACCAATAGCACATAGTCGCGTAGGTCACGGAAACTCAGCTCGTTTCCGGCGGAGGCGACGCGGCCGTCAAGAGATGACAAGGCCTGGTGCACGGCCGACACCTGCACGCGGCGCATGTCCTGCTTCTCCTTCCACAAGATCTTGAGCGTCGTCATGGCGGGTGCAGAATTAGTTGCGGTGTGTTGCTGCGGGTTGTAGTGCTCTTTTGGGATTGGTTTTCTCAGAAAAGAGGAAGAGAATTCTCGGAAATACAGTGCAGTATGGCTCCTTCATTTTTAGAATAAAATAAGAATGCATTTTCGGTGCGACTGTTCTGAAATAATGACACCAATGGTACACCGTAGTGGTAATTTTGAATTGTAGTAGTAGTAATAATCATTTCGAAATTTACATAATTATAGCTGCTAAAATTACAATGGGCTCAATTGAAGTAGCTTAATCAGTTCTAAAAGCACTCCTATCATGCATTCTATAAATTAATTTTTAAAAGCAGCCAATAGATAACTTAGGTATCTGAGCTCGCTTAAGACTTATAATAATACCACAGATTAATAAAATAATTACCCATAATAATTATGCTGGAGAACTTTAAATACTAAAATAACTTCAAAAAATTGAGCCAGGAAAAGGGTCAAAGTTATCCAAATGAAAGATCAAAAAATAAAGCCGGTCATTTCCGATTCCGTCTGGAAAAGAAATGCAAATGACAGAGTTTCCACTGCACTTTAATGTGGCTAAAGAGCGCTAGGTCAGGTCGTCGCTGCTGTACAGCCAGCCCTGAATTTTTCAGGAAGCTACGTGTAATAGAGAACTTTAGTTTTCTGGACAGACTAAAGATTTGAACCAGCAATTGTCAGAAAAAGGGTGAAATCCGAAGGTCCAAAACTATATTCCAGCGACCTTATGTTTATTAAATTGCAACCACGTTATTTTCCATCGCACGAGCCTTCTGAAAGAGCTGTTTTCCGCTCCTTCGATAGATGATGTGGGTGACATTGCCTATGCTTCGACGACTTCACAAAGTAAACCCTTCTAGAACAGTCGATTTCCACACAAGCATTCTGCTGGGTCCCTTTTTTTCTTTTTTAAGGGGCGTGTCGAGTGCAATCAAAATTGAGCAGCGATTGTTCTCCAGGCGTATTTACCATCATTCTACTTCAATTTGGACACAAAGTACAGGCCTTGCAAGTATATCATTTATCAGGAGCATTACACTTTTGAAAACACGTTTCTGATCTAACTATTGAGCTAGGTTATCAATTTCGGACAGCCTTCAACTGTCAAACGCCTCTCTACTTCTCACCAGATCTCAATTCTCCTCGCCCTGCTCAAGTCAGACCGAAGAGGAGATGACGAAGACTATCGAGCTAACTACAAGCGGCACCGAGCCGCTCACGCAGACGTTGGCGCTGGCCAGTGAACCTCTGACGGTGGCCACGCTCCGAGCCGAGGCGGCCGCACTACTGGCCGGCAATGCTAAGACCTTCTCGCTGCGCTACACGGACTCGGACGGAGACGAAGTGACTATCGCCCACGACGCGGACGTCAAGGAACTGGCCGACTACATGGACGATGAACAACTAGAGCGTGTGACGGTGACGGTGGTGTCACAGGAAGCGGCCGGCCGTCGTGCCGCCAGCGCGGTGCAGACGCAGCTACGCGGTCTAGTAACAGCCATGTCCAAGCTGGCTACGACCAAGCCTAAGCAGCCCACGCCGGCCAACGCCATGAACCTACTGGTGGCCAGTCTACAGACTATGGATGTGGCCGAGGACTCGGAGGAGCTGGCCGCGATCAAGAAACAACTTCTCGAAATACTGGACGATGATGAGTTTAAGAAGGCGGTGGAGGAGCTGTGCGCTTCTGAAGAGCTCAAGGATCTGGCCGACGTCATGGTGGCCGCTATCTACGCAGAAGATGCGGTGGCCATTGAAGAGACAGCCACGGCCAGGCTGGACGAGCTACTGGTGTTCGCCCAGCGTCTAGTGGCCCGCTGTCCGACGCTTAAGCCGGCCATGGTCAACGTGGCCAAGAACTGCATGAGCGGCCTGGTCCGTCTTAACGACGAAGGGCTGGCCGACGATGGAACGAGCTCGAGTTCAAGTAGCAGTGCTGAAGACGTGGAGCTTGAAGCTCGTGAGGTGGCTGTGCACTTCGGAATCATCTGTGACGGATGTGACAAAGAGCCACTCGTTGGTGTCCGCTACAAGTCACTGGAAACGCCGGACTTTGATGTATGTGAAGACTGTGAAGCCAGCGGCCAATGGGCCGAGCACGAGCCGTTCATCAAAATCGCGGACCCGTCTCGTGCTCCCAAACACCAACGTACGCCGGAACGAGTGGCGCATCCGTTCGTGAGATGCGATGGATGCGAGACGAGTCCCATTGTGGGCCCTCGATTCAAGTCGAAGACTGCGTATGACTTTGATCTTTGTCAAGCCTGTGAGGCCAGCGGCAAGTGGAAGGAATCGCACGGGCCGTTCACGAAGATCGTGGAACCTGGCATGATGCACGCGATGAAGTTCACTTATCGTCGTGGAGGAAAAAAATATGGCCACGGTAACTTCGGCCGTCATCATGGCAAGTTCGGCCGTCACCACGGCAAGTTTGATGGGCACCCCGGCAAATTCAATCGTCATGGCCACCACGGTCCACCTGGAATCCCTTTTGATGGCCCACCATCTCACCACCACGGGCCATCATTCACTGGTTTCGGCCCGCGTCCTCGTCATGGAGGCCCTGGCTTGCCTGGCCATGGGCCGCCACCACCACCGCATGACGAGGGCCCTCGCTTTGGCTTCGGTGAAGCTCAACGTGGACCTGGTTTTGGTCGTCCCGATTTTCACGGCCACGGACCCCCGATCCTCCCCCTCACTTCGGTGAACACGATCAAGGATTCCCGACTCCAGGCCCACCTGGCTTTGGCCTTGGACACTTTGGCCCGCCTGGACCTGGATTCCCCGGTCCGCATGGCTCGACTCCGTACATGCCGAACGTCCACATGCATTTTGGCCCTCGAGGATGCCCCCGTGGCCGTCACGGACGTGACATGCGCTTCTCGGGCGACAATGAACAGCAAGAAGCGGGCCGTCGTCGCCATGGACGTGGCCGCTGGGGCCGTGAGGCTTCCGACCTTGAGGCACGTTTCGTTGAGGACGTAACTATCGAAGACGGGACAGTCGTGGAAGCTGGAAAGCCGCTACGTAAGATGTGGAAGCTGGTCAACGACGGTGAGCGAGCGTGGCCGGATGGATGCTACATGATCACTCAGCCGGGCAATCCCATGTTCCCGGACAGAGAATCAAGTCGCATCGAGCTTCCTGCTTTGGCTCCTGGTCAGGAATATATCGCTGGAGTCGACTTGGTCGCTCCGTCGCAGCCTGGACGCTACCCGAACTTTTGGCGTGTGTGTGACCCCGCCGACGCCAGCTTCGGCCACCGCTTCTGGATTGACATTGTGGTTGTTGGAAATAGTATTGCTGAGTCGACTCCATCGGAAGCTCCAACGGCCGACAGCGGCGAAGACGAGATGAAGAAATCTGCTGAAGCTACGCCGTCCACTGAGGCTTCGTCGGATGATGATATCGAGATTATTGATGTGACTGAAGCACAGGAAGCTGACGGTGATGCGGAGATCGGAGACGACAGTGAGGCTTTCGACGAGAACAAGAACTTCAAGGAGTCGATGCAAATACTGGCAGCGATGGGATTCTCTGATTTGGACAAGAATCTTCGGGCGCTGAAGCTGGTCGATGGGAACGTCGGTGGCGCTGTCAACGTACTGCTGTCAGAGTAAGACGAGTACGAATCAACCATGCGTGTTTGTGTACGGACAACATAAACCGAATGAGCGATTAAAAAAAAAGACTTCACAACAAGCTTCAAAGCGCCAAGGGAACAAGAAAAAATCGAATATGAAGTGTGGTAGTAAAAGAAACTCGTATTTCTGCGTTCGTGTGCATGTCATAGCAACAGGAAAACAAAAAAAACAAAAGATACTCATTAACATAATTCTTTGACTTCAATTCACCTTACTAATTGTCACACAGCGTCTTGCCAGTTTTAGGCGGCGTCCATATTGATTCTGTAATTTAGCGTTTTTTTATTTTATCTAGTATTTTTAAAGTTCGTACAACCTCCTCTCGCTTACATCAGGCTCTTGACTGAAAGCGGTTCGCCCGCCAAAAACTTATTGATAGCAGCAGTACACTCGGCATGTTTTTCGTGTTGCAGAATGTGTCCGCAGTCGTCAAATAGCAGCACCTGTCCTTGAGCCTCCGGGGTCCATTTCGAGCACGTCTACTGACGAGACGTCCAGAACTTGATCGTGCTTGCCCCACATCACCAACGTCTTGGCACGAATGTCAGGCAACAAATCCTCCAACACCGTCGGGTTCTGCAACGAATCGTGGACAATCTTCTCCAACACTGGCAACTGCTTCTCCCGTTCGGACGCAATCATATTTAAAAAGACATGCGGAATTTTACGTGGATCGTAGCTGAGATGGTTGTTCATCTCGACTAGATCGTCGGCTGTGTGTGCAAGCAGCAAGTTCCGTCCTGAATCCTCGAGCATTTTCAGTAATGCGCTCTTCCTGGGCATTGAGATACCCGCTGGACACACCATAGTCAGTGACTTGATACGCTCCGGGTACAGTCCAGCATACACTCCAGCGAGCATACCGCCCATGGAGCAGCCTACGAGATGGATCTGTTTATTGGTGGGTACCTCCTTCTCTAAAAATTCGTGCAATCGCTCGGCTTGATTGGGCATTGAATAGTTGGTCAGAGGATCGATTGGGGTCGTGCGTCCTTGGCCGGGCAAGTCTGAGATGACGATCTTGTAGCGCTTGTCGACGCCGCGGGCCACGCGAACCCACAACTCCTTGACGGAGCTAAAGCCGTGCAGGAAGACGACGACGTCCGTCTCCTTCTCTTCCTTGCCCCGTCGCTCTATGTAACTCCAGTTGTACTGGTCGATGCTCGCATTCTTGGCGGAAAAACCTGAGAAGAAGCGGACGGCGTCGAACACCGACATGAGGAGGGAGGCCATCGTGATGGTCGAGAGGCAAATTTATCAACGTATTTGTAACGCTAAGTAAAAAAAAAGAGGTGTTGACGGTCGCAATGCAAAAAATCGATAACAAAGCGCTTGTGTCACAGAGGGAAAGAGACTGATTACGCCCTCGGTGAGTGGGTGAAATTGGTTTACTTAATCGACCATCATTCTGCAAACTTCAACCACCAATTTGCCGATGAAGAGCTACTACTTCATTAGATTGAAAAAAGAAAAAAAATTATCTGAGGAGAATAAGCTAACTACCGTAGCGTGAAGTCACTCTTTGGTTCTTTTGCTTTGCAATGCTCTTGCGACGTTAATTAATTAAGCTCATTGTTCTGGTCGTGAAGTTATTGAGCAAGGAAGCTCTTTGGGCGCGTAGTGGAGATCGGTCTTATCAAAAGTAATTAGGAATGATCAGTGGGTGCAGAAGTTGCAAGCTGTTTAGGCTTTCCGCTGGATTTTTTATCCAGCGCACCGTGCACGACCCGCTCCGTGGATACTTGCTCCGTCAAGAATTTGTTGATCGCAGCTGTACACTCAGCGTATTTCTCGTGCTGGAGGATGTGGCCACAGTTATCAAAGAGAAGAATCCGCACTCGCGTCTCCGGGTGTAGCTTTTCCCGAAGCACTTCCGCCGACGATACGTGCAGCACGCGGTCATGTTTTCCCCACATCACTAACGTCCTGGCTCGGATATTAGGAAGCTGTTCTTCTAATACAATAGGGTTCTGAAGAGCATCATTGATAATCTTCTCCAGCACCGGCAGTTGCTTCTTACGCTCTGCTGCGACGATCGACGCGACAGCGCTTGGAAGTTTAAATGGCTTGAAACTGAGAGCGTGATTCATTTCATGGATATCTTCGGGAGTGTGTGCAAGGAGGAGATTGCGTCCAGATTCCTCAAGCATCACCAGTAAATCGCTTTTCGTGGGCATAGTGATCCCGGCAGGACAGATCATCGTCAGGGTCTTCACTCGAGTAGGAAATAACCCAGCATACACTCCAGCCAGCATTCCACCCATTGAGCAGCCGATCAAGTGGATTTTCTTGTCCGCAGGGACCTCCTTCTCGATAAACTCATGCAGTCTTTGAGTTTGGTTAAGTATTGAGTATTTAGCAAGTGCATCCACAGGAGTTGTGCGCCCATGGCCAGGAAGGTCTGGGATCATGATTTTGAAACGTTTGTCAACACTGCGTGCAACTCGAACCCAAGACTCCTTCATGGAGCTGAAGCCGTGTAAGAATACTACAACATCCGTGCTCTGTTCATCTTTGCCTGGGCGCTCAATGTAGCTCCAGTTGTACTTGTCTACACTGGTAAACTTGGCCGAGAATCCTGACACAAACCGCACTGCGTCGATTACCGACATAAATAGCGGATTCGGCATTGTTCCTTCACCTCTGGGTCAAAGAAGTGACTCCAAAATTATAAGAAAAACTACTCGCGTTATAAATAGAGAAAAGCTGAATTATAAAAGCGAGGAATGCTTGTTTTAGTTTAGCTACTAGTAGTACTACTTTATTTTTATTTATTACTACAAAAGTACTTCTGTATTAAATACCAATATTATAGTACTACTTATAATTAAGAAATTAAAGCTCACCATTTATAAAAAAACTTCCTGCTTCGCTATTAACTTTTGCCGCTAATAAATGATAAATACCTCGCCATTCGTTCTGACGGAAAACGGAGCTGTCTCTAAAACGCCATAACGGCCTGCTGTCCAGCGAGAGCGAACGTGAAGCTGAGCTCCTCGTCCGCTAGAAATTTGTTAAGCACGTCGACACATTCGACCGGCTTGTCGCTCGGTATGAGGTGGCCACAACTTTCGAGCACCAACACGTGTTTGCGCGTGACGTTGAGCTTGTCGTCGATCACCTTCAGACACGACACGTCAAAAACTTCGTCCTGGTCGCCCCATACGACCATGGTTCTGGCTCGAATGTTGTGGAGTTCGTCTTCTAGCATTGTCGGGTGGGCAAGCATGTCCATAAGCACCTTCTGCACCACTCCTCGTGCTCGTCCACGTTTGGGGATGGCAAGCGCTCGAAACACACGAGGCGTGTGCACGAAATTGGCAACACTAGCAACGCGGTCACGCCACTCGCCCACTTCGCTCGTAGAAGTTTCGGTAGGACTTTGCAACGTCGACTTGCCCAGGTCGTCGATGTCACTGAGCGTGACGCTCATCGTAGGCATTGAGATACCACATGGACACATCAAAAGCAGTGATTTGACTCGCGCTGGGTGCATCGCAGCGTAGACACCAGCAATGGATGCACCCATGCAGGTGCCTACAAGATGCACCTTGTTGTTCGGGTACAGCTCAGACTCGAAGAACTCGTGCAGTCGACGGGCTTGTCGATCCGCGGAGAAATTCATTTGCGGATCCAGTGGCGTCGTTTTCCCGTGGCCTGGGAGATCGGGGATCACGACGTGGTAGTTCTTGCTGAGGCCGCTAGCGACACGCACCCAGCCCTCTTTCGAAGACCCGAGACCGTGTAGAAAGACAACGATCTCTCGGCTCTTGGAGCTGGCCGCGGGTCGGATCAAATAGTTCCATTGGAACTGGTCTACACTGGCCGTTCGGGCCTGGAACCCCTTGCCGTAGCGCATCAGGTCTCCTGAGTGGGAGCTGAAAGCGTCGAGCACGCGCAGGAAGCCCATGGTGATGTATGAGATGGTCCGACCTGTGTGCTCTTCGTGGTGAAACGTGTTGTGACACGCCAAGCAGTGGGTTGAGTTTCAATGAGACAGAGTGTATGTCGGTCGTTCCAGGGACGAACGGTTGTGCTCTTAAGTTGGAGCCTCTAACCCTGTCGCTAACTCAAAGGCTCAGAGGCTGTCCGACTGCAGTGTGATTGCGGAGTGGTGCCGCAGCGCTCCAGCTCTCTTGGTGCATCATCCACCCCGGATTTTTCGTGCTCGCTCGCGCGTTGAACACAACAGCGTGGGGCCCACGGTGGGCCACTGGCAATCACTGCTGCTTCATCGCGATCGCTCGATTGCTCTAGGGCAAGCAGATGAATTGACCGATTGTTATGTGCTAAAAAGTGCTGACTTCTGGAAAACTGTCAAATCTCCGTGGTAAGTACGAATAATTTCCATAGTTTTGCCGTACATGGTTTTTACTTGCAAATTGCAAGTTGCAATTCCGCCACGCCACAAAGACAGCGAAGTTTGCGAAGTGTAGCGCACGGGTATGAGGCGAAGTGTAGCAGTAGTAAATCTGTCAGTTCTTCTACTGTATATCGTCCTGTGTGCAGCGCTCATGGGCACCAGCTTGCTGTTGTCGCAGAGCTTCAGTGCGCTGTCAATCCTACTGTTCGTCACGAACTTCGTGTCGCGCCCATGTGCCTGCTGCACTGGCAGATGGCGATTCCTGACGGAATCGATTGTCGTTTATTCCAAAACACAAGGAAAAAATGGCAAAAGGAGCTATGGATTCGCCCACCTTGATGATCACCTGTTCACTGCCAGTCATTGCCGGCGCTGTTTACGGCGATTGCTGGCAAGAGAGTACATGTATTGGAGTGTTGCCCGCATCGTCCCGTTACTGCATCGATAGAGATGAAATCTTTCATCTTGCACTTGATTATTCCTGTGTTCAGGAAAGCGGGCCACTGTTTTCTACGATGTTGTAAACATTGGTGCATGGAAAATATGGGGCGGAACAAAACACATTTAAAGACAAATACCACTTCAATACCGGTACGTATGAGAACTTTGTCACCAAATTCTCTGATGCCTACGCAAATTAGACGCTCCGCGTTCAATCTTCATGGCGAACACGATCACGCAATGGTCCGATACACATAGCGGTGTCCACGGAACTTCAGCACGATCACTGCAGCAAGCGCCGCGCAGACGCAGCCCGACACGAAGAACGTGACTGCAAGTGTTGCGAACGATCTGTCTTGGTGATGAGCCTCGGTCTCAGTGGCAAACGACTCTGTGTAATGAGCAGCCAGAACCTCACCGTCGGGACGTGTAACATCCTCTGAAGTGTCTTTAATCGGGTGGTCCTTTGCACTTTTCTTGAACGGGACGATACCAAAGATCGAGCCTCCGTAGACAGCTTTCTCCTCCCACACGAGCTCTTCGTCGCTGATATCCGGTCTCATGAAGGCGCAGTCGGCCTCAATGCCCAAGTTGTTTTTGCCACGCACAATCTTAAAGAATCCGTTCATCCCCCAGTACGTGCCCCATGAGTTGCGGATGTGCCAGTACTTGACGCCATCCTCTTCGCCCCATCCGACAATTTCCACGTCGTGATCAATATCCATAAAGCCCGTCTTGTCCTCAAGAATGCCGGCCTTGTACTTGTAGGTAAACTCTTCACTGCAGGCAATGCCGCATGTGATAGGACCGTCTTCCATGATCTCCTTCATCATGGCAAGTTCACCCGACAAGTGGCCGTGGCTCTTGGCTCGGTAGCGTACCATCTTCGTTACTGGGAAGCACTGTGGCACCTTCTTACTCTCAGGAGTATACATGCAGCTACATAGTCAACAAGTTAGCATCGTAACCCCCCCCCCCAAAAAATACTTTTTTTAACGTACTTCATGCAATAACCCTCTGGGGGGCAAGTGCCATTGGTTGCTTGGTACTTGGTGTGATCCGTTGCGTTGTATGGCAAGCAAGACTCGTCCGGCAGTCCGTAGAGGCGCATGAACTCGTACACGTCAGAGGCTTCTCCACCGTCACAGCCGGCGGATAGTCCGTGACCCGGTGCACAGTTAAGAAAACTCTGGCGACCCAGCATCACGTCTGCTCCCGTGTACTTACGACGCGTGTTAGCGATCTTGATGCGATCCTGGGCGCTCGACATGGCGCCGTGAGCGAAGCACGAGCCACAATACTGAGGGATATGCTGGTTCCAACTGGGGACGCAGAAACCACGCTCGCACCAGTCCAGGTGCTTGGGGAGTTGCTCGAGCTCCTGCGCCTCATCCAGCGACATTGTTGGCAGCGAATGCACCTTCGGGTGCAGATGCTCACGACCTTTCATGGTTCGTTTGCAGCGACATCCTTCTTGTTCAGCGTCGACAGAGTGCAACAACAGCGTAGAGAGCGCGATGGTCAACACTGTTGCCTTGCAGATGGATCCAAAGCGGCCACTCCACATTTTCTCGACTTGAAAAGATTTCAGTACGATCACCGAAGGATTTTGTCAGTTTGGCGCTTGCAACGGCGGAAGCGGATTCGAGAATGAATGAAGGAGATCCTGGCAGCAGACTTTACTGGCGGCGCAACGGTCGGCGGTTGCAGCTGATGCGGCGTTTCCCAGACGTATCATTGGCCACCACCACTGACGGGTGCACTTGGTGCTTGTATTCAGCGTTAAATTTTATGTTTGTTTTTTTCTACTTTCTGAGCTATGAAAGCTCTAGCATAGTACATTCTAGAGCTTTCATAACTCAGAAAGTAGAAAAAACAAACATATAATTTGAGGTCTTAAATTATCCTTATCTGTCGACAGGTTGTGAGTTTCTGGTAAACGATTGCAGGGATGCTCGATCGAAATAGATGGGGTGCTTCCGGGGTGTTGGATGTGGTTGCTGGTTTCGAAATTGGCAAGCTTCTTTCGTTGGTAGGTATGGACACCGCCGAGAGCAACGACTACTACATGCGCATCGACTATGCTCGAGAAGCAGTGCTCGATGTTCAACAGCAGCTACAAGACTCTCGGAACGACATCGCTAAGGTGATGGATGCAGCCGAGCTGCTCACTGCTGAGGCATGTGCGCTTGCTCTTCGACGAGAAGAGTTGGAAAAAGACGAAGCCACATTGGTCCAATCCGAGGCAATCGCGGTGCAAAATAAAATACTTGCGGAGAAGAAGCTCATGGATATTGGTGGATACGAATGCGTCGTGCGAATCCTGCGCAAGGACCTGCAGAAGGCCAAGCTCGAGATAATGGACACCGAGGGTACACCTTCCTATAACAGCGTGCACTGCGCTCCAATAGCATTACCTGACTAACTATTACGAGTGCTACGAGCAGATGAAACAAAGGACCTTATCCACGAGGAGCTTCTTCTTCGAGCACAAATTGCCAGTATGACGGAGAGCTTGACCGCTACCCAGCAGAGCGTCGCGAAACTGCAGCATGAGTGCGCCAGCGCAGCCGAGGGGAAGCGCCAGACCGATGACAAGCTGCGGCAACTGTCTCTATTCCTCGATCAAGCGCTTAACTCCCCGTCAAGCGTTCGGTCAGCCTCGCCAACTTCGCCAACATCGTCTTAGTCTTAGAAATGAACCAGTCTCCATGAAATGATATACTTTCAGATAAAAAAGCACTTCAACTTGAGCCTATTTATGTAGTTAATTCTTTATCTGTAACTGCTACTTCATATCGTCACTTTTGACCACATAGATCTTTCGTGGCAGCCATCACATTGGCAAAGCTCCAGGACACGCTTACCTCTCTGTATCTCTGTACGCGACCGCCATGGACAAGTACCGACGCGTGGAGAAGCCTCGCCGCGAGGAGCAATCGACGCAGGTGGAGCCCAACGAGATCCGCATCACGCAGCAGGGTAAAGTGCGCAGCTACATTTCCTACGCCAACGGGCTCTTCGCTGTGAGTTTTTCTTTATATGTTTTTAATCTATAAAAATGTAATATAAACACTAACTTCTGCTGGACTTCTTGCTACAGGAGAAGAGTGAACGTCGTGTGGTATTGAAGGCTATGGGCAACGCAATCAGCAAGGCTGTGACTGTGGCGGAGATCCTGAAACACCGTGTAGCCAATCTGCATCAAGTGACGCGTATCTCGTCCATTGAGACTGTGGACGTGTACGAACCGCTTGAGGAGGGACTGGATCGCATCGAGACCACGCGTCACATCCCTGGGATCTCAATTCAGCTCTCGCTGGACGAACTGGAGCGAGACGACCCTGGATACCAGAGTCCCATCCCGCTGGATCAGGTGACGGCAGGTTCGCCGACGTACCACGATGGTCGGGAGTTCAGGAAGCCACGAGGCCACAGTAGACGCTCTGGTCGCAATGGAAACAATAGTGGAGACGCAGAAACGGCAGCTAAAACGGAGGAAACTATCGAGGAAGTTGAGGTAGAGGCGGACGAGCAGAGTCCTGGTGAAGGAGCTACCGGTAGTAATACCGGTACGCCGACGACTCGAGGAAAGCGAGGCAAGGGACGAGGTCGTGGACGTAGCGGTAGCAATGGAGGACGTGGCAAGAAGACACGTGGACGTAATTCTGATGGAGAAGACCAGGCAGAAGCCGGTGCAGTCGAACAGGTAGAGACGGGAACGCCGGCCACGCAGACAAACCGCAAGTCTGGACGTGGGAGGAAAGGGAAGAGAACGCCACGTAACGATGACGAGAAGACAGCAGAAGGAGAAGATGTCGATGAATCTCGTGAGAATGGCGGAGGTGGCAAGGGACGACATTCTGCTCGTGGTCGTGGTCGAGGACGTGCCCGTGGAGGTCGCGGCGGGAGCAATGGACGCGACGGAAACGCCGCATCTGCTACAACGGATGCGGTTGCCGCAACTGAGCAGTAAGTTTGTCATCTCGTAGGATTCTGATAATGTCGGAGCTTATGCTGGACACGTGAAGGAGCATGACGTGAACTAGGAAAGATAAAGCAAACAAAAATAGTAATGATTGACTCTTTTAGTCAAATTGATGTCTGGCGGTATGAATCATAATTACCAGTTTAATACTACGTAGTAGTAGTACTACCGGTAGTACGAGTATTCTGTGCAACCTAACTATCGTAATTTATCCGAACTGCGACGTGCTTTTCATATACGTAGTAGTATATTCTGCACAACTACACAAAGATTGATTGTTCAAAGCCAATCTTGTATCAAATACAGGATTCCATTGCGTAGTTCTCAACATGCGACCATCTTTTTCTACTGGCGCTGCTGTCTGGGGCCGCGACCTCCACCGGCGCCTCCTCCACGACGAGGACGGAATCCACCTCGTCCACCTTGGTTGTCTCCACGTCGACTGCCGCCCGTGCTGAAGCCAATACGGCCACCTCCACCACGACGACCGTCGGTGCCGCCGCGACGGTTGCCCCACTCTTCCTTGTTCGTACCAGAACGCAGGTCCATCATACGCTCGTTGTTCTCCACGATCTGCGAGAGCTTGTCCGAGTACTGCACAGCCATAGTCTGCAGCGTCGAGCGCTCCGTCTTGTACAGAACAATAGCCTGCGACGACTGGTCCCACGCACCCTGAAGCTCCTCGTTGATCATCATCTTGGACACAACGCTGTGCACAGTCTTGTCGTCCAGCTCGAACATTTCCATAAGACGCGCAAGACTCACCGAGTCGTACTCAGCACTGAACGCCAACAGATACGTACGCAGTGCCTCGACTTGGATCTTGTGCTGCACCATCGCCTTCACACGCTGCGTCACGCTAGCACCGGGGAAGAGATCCCATACAGGCAGACCAACCAAGAGCTCAGCACTCTTACGCCACGAGCCCTGAGCCAGCAACTTAGCAGCAGCTACCACGTGGTCACGCGGGTTCTCCGGAGGACCCTCGAACACCAGACGTTCGTGGAACTCAAGCAGCTTACGGAAGGCCTTGGACACCATACGCTTACGGTCTGACAGACGCGCGTTCACCATGTTTGGCACCTCCAACAGCATCGCACTCACCAAGTGGCACGTCTCCAGCAAGTCCAAGTTAATGTGCATGTGGTACGGCACTTGACGACGACGTTCCAGACGTTCCTGCTCCAGATCACGCTCGCCGTAACGGAATGACTGCAGACCTTGAGCCAGCAGCTCCTTAGTGCGTGAACCCGTGCAAATCTCCGACAGACACGCGTGCGCTTCCCAGATGAGACCGCAACGGAACGCACACAGACCCAGTTGCGCCATCATGCGGTTGAACAGGATCTGCGTAGGGATATCGGCGTCCGTGATGTTGTCCTGAATGTGCGACATCAGCAGCAAGTCCCGAGCCTCGTGGAAGCGGTCGTGCAGTGCGTGGTGGTAGATACGACACAGCATCGCACGCGTCTTGGCGCGGATGTCTCCGTGCTGGAAGACAAAGCGACACACGTCACGTAGCAGCTTCTCGGCGTCCACGGGCGTCACATCGACTGTAGGTTGGCCCATGATGGATGCAGGGTGAACGATAGACACGTCGAACTCCTTGGTCTTGATCGAGTTGCCACTGGAGCACGCAGGGTGGAGGAACACCGGGTCACCGTACTTAGCACGCTTAGCCTGAGCCTCATACAAAGCAGCAGCGACAGAGTCGTGCTTGTAGTAGATCAACTCGGCACGCACAAGAGCCATCGTCGCAGCGCGCTGGAAGTCCTTCTTACGCGCGTAAAATGTCTGCACCCGCTCGGCCACTTCGATCAGCAGGTTCTCATCATACAGACGAGAAACGTAATCACTCGTGTGCGGGTCTGTCTGCTGCAGAGCCTTTGTGTATTCCTCCGACAAGCGCTCCACGAATGCCGCCAAGTCGCCAGAGACCTTGATCGTGCCCTTCTTGCCAGCCTGGGGCAGTGTATCCACAAAGTTCAAGTCTTCTTCGGCGTCCTCAGCAGCAGCCGCAGCGATCTGCGCAGCCGTCACCTTCTCACGTCCAGCACGGACGATGTCAGCCTGGTCTTCGGACGTCAACGGAGCCAATGAGAAGTCCGGGTTCTTCTCCAACAACGACAAAATCGTGCACACATTGGACTGCACCAGCTTCCAGTGACGCACCGACATGACGCGGTCGATCTTCGACGACGTGTCGAACACCGAAGTACCCACCAGATACATCGTAGCCACAATCTGACGCGCAGGGCCAAGACGACGTGCGTAGTTGGCCAGTTTACGCAGCAGAGTGAGCTGTCCCGACAGGTCCATACCCTTCTTACCACGCATAGCGATCACCTCCTTAACACGACGGTCGAACTGACTGGGGGTGAGCTTGAGCTCTTCCTCTACGACCACCTTCTTGACATCATCCTCAGATCCACGACGAGCCTCACGCTGCTTGACGACCTTGGGGCCCTTGACCTTCTTCGCCTTAGTGACCACAGGCGTCTGCTTGAGCCAGCGCGCACGGCCCTTTGGCATGTTGTCATCGTCCTCGGAAGACGACGAAGACGACGCTGAACCGCTCGGCCATGAGCCATCTGAGTCGTCTGAGTCATCGTCGGACTTGTCGTCGTCGCTGCTTTCCTCTTCCGACTCAGACGCAGATGCGTCGCTGCTGCCCTCAGATGAAGCAGAGGAGGAGTCGGACTCAGATTCATCCGATGAAGACTCAGAAGAGCTGTCTGAGTCCTCCTCTTCGCTCGAGTCCATGGGGTTGGCACGGAAGTCGTCGATCTGCTTGCGCATAGGCTCGAGCTGCTTCTTGAGCTTGCCCTTCATACGGATGAGCGCCTTGCTGTTCTCCTTACTCATCTTCTTCTGCTCAGCCTTGTTCTTGACCTTCTCGGCCAAAAAGTCCTCAAGCGCCACCATCGTACGCAAGTAGAAGACCGGCAGCGTCGAGACGGTCTTCTTGGCACGCTCGAGCTGCTTGGCCAGCTCGTCGAACTCCGTCTGGATCTGCGTCCAGTCGTTGATCTTCATGTGGTTCTTAATACTGGAGCAGTTGCGCTCCATGTTCTCCAGCGCCTTGTCCTTGGCGCTCTTGACCACGCGCACCTCCTCATCAGAGTCCGAGTCCGACTGCACCGCCCAGCGCGAGGCCGCGCGAGCAGCCTGCTGCTGCGACGTCTCGACGTCCGACACATCCGACACGTCGCTTTCCTCCTCAGAAGACGAACTGCCTGCCCAGAATCTGCTCGCCATGTTTGCTGCTGTCTAGGGGGGGGATTAACTTCCTGCTTCCTTCAGCGCGGGGCAGTATCCGCGTAATGATGGCTTTGGGTTGGCTGGCTCGTGGCCATCAATAGTAGAAGTAAACCGGTATAATACCGATCTACCAGAGAATGATTCAGCTCCGTCTACGTCGCACAAAAACCGTTTGATATCGGTTAGTTTAGCTATCTTTGGAGTATTCGAAGTTTGAAGTGATTTCATACGGTTTTAGTCTCTAATGACAAGAACTACTGCTATCCGACTGCGGTTTACTCCGGTGAGAACGGGTCATTGTGCGGTGCGTTACCTGGCGATCGGAGATAGGACACACCGAGTGTGGGTGTGTCCATGAGCGACGAGTACGTCTCGCGCTCGCAGTGGTCGTGAGCAACGCCAGTCTCCAACGCAATCTCGGCTCGGCGTTTCTCCTCGCGGTCGTGCTCATATTTCCGCAGATAGATCGTTAACGGGATCATCAATATGCAGGACAACAGCGAGATGACGTTCAGCACTGTCAAGTCTCCGCCAAACAACACATTGGAGATATAAACCGCTGGGTATTCAGCCAGACTGATGACCGAGCCGATCGAAAAGATGATACCCATTAATGAACCCATGTTCTTGAGACCAAATGTCTTGGCCGTAAAGGCTGAGATGATGGCATACAGGAACGCACGGAACGCTGTAAAGAGGAAGAAAGCCACACATTGCAGAGGCAGACTAGGCACCAACTCGATCACGTTGTAGAGCACGCCCAACACGTTCGTAAATAGCAGAGCCTTCGACAAACCACGAGTCTCCACCAGGTAATCGATCAACGGGACAAAGAGAAAGCCCATTGGTAGAACAAAACTGAACACCTTGGTGTACAGGTAGCCTTGGTCGCGGTCGCCGTAGTTTTCTAGCAGTTTGTTTGCTGTGCCAATGTAGATAGTGGCGCGTAGAACTTGCACAGCTGCATATATCACAATGTACGCGAACTCAAACGATTTCATCTGCTTGATTAGGCCAATGTCCACGAGGCGGAACGCTACGTCATCTTCCTTCCCCATTGTCGGCGTCGACGGGATCTGTGTTGGCTTGTTCGACTGGAAGCTTACCTCCACACTACCGTATGCACTTTCATTTGCCTGTCCATTTCTTAGCAGCTGGTCGTGCTGCGGCGTTGACACGATCACACCATTGCTATTGACACCGAGTCTACGCTTTGGACGCAGACTCTTCTCGTTAAGTCCCCAGAGGAAGATCAGCAGCAAGTAGACGCCGGCAGACACTACTGCCAGTCCCAAGAACAAATGCCTGCGCGTCCAGCCGAAAGTTTCATGGGCGGAGTAAAGCATGAGGAACATGACGCTGCTGCCGTCGAAGAGACAGCTGATGGCCGCGAGGATCGCTGTTTGGTAGCGCATGATGAGGAAACTTGCTGGATACGACGCCATCATGGTGATGCAGCCACCGAACGCAATGAGCACGTAGGCTGGTACAAACAGGTCGAATGTCTGCGAGTCTGAGAATGCTAGCATTGCCAAGCCAGATACTTCGACGATGGCTGCCACCGCAATGGTCACGCGGGGCCCTGCGCGATCCAGAAACAGGCCGACAGGCAACGCGCCGGCATTCATGGCTACTGAAGCCACTGCGAAGATGAGGTTGAGGCGGTTCTCTTGGGCCACGCACGTGGATTCGCTTGGGTCCACACACAGCTCATGGTATTGACCTTCCTCCTGAAGCAATAGGAGCAGCGGCGCCCAACCGAACACGAGGCCAGTGAGCAGCAGGTCGGAAACGCATACTGCCAGCACCAGCGCAATGCGTCGGGGTGCAATTGGGCGCGGTCGCGCGTAAACGGAAAAGCTCGAAGCCATCAATGCAATTGCTGGCCTGCTGGTTAAGATTATTAAAATGGCGATGAAATCGATGCATGTACAGTGTGCCCAATCTTGTTTTGTTTTCCACGCATAATTTATACCCCGAATAAAACAATGTCATCGAGGTAAACAACCTAAACCTTATACATGTACGCGCTTTTGGTTATGCCAAGTCATAAAAAAATATGTGTCGGAGTTGAGAGCGCAAGTCTGCAATGAGAAATGTGACACTGTAGTACTCTTTGAGCCGCGTTCTTCACTAGGCAAGGCGTTCACGTGAAGGTTTGTGGTAGTATCACCACGATTTACTGCGATACAGTGCATAAGATGCTCTTTAAAGTCGTTGGTGTTCATCCACCCTCGCTGCCACGCACAAATGGTGCTACTACTGAGCTTCTGATTCTACTCGTGTCTAATCAAACTTATTATTAAAAATTACTGGTACCCTGACATAGGCTTTGTTTAAAATCGTCCACGGTACCTGATTACGCATCAGTGCTTCTGTCCAGCACGGTACGCTTCCGTTTGCGCACTCTTCTGAAGTATTTTGCCCAACTGGCTAACCGACTATACAATTATACCCCCCAACATGCATAAAATGGACTTAGCCGACGGTCTTGGCAACACTCGCTCGGAATTAATTTCTAATCCCAGACACAGCGCCTTGCCGAGTCGAGGACTTAGAGGCCGGGGTGGGGCAGGCCGCGCAGCGGCGCCCCCCGAGCGCAGCGCAGCAAGTGAAGAGAGGGGCGGGCCCACGGCTATAAGTCCGCAGACGAGTGCAAACGCCTTTACTCCAATTTAACCGTACTATACTATTTGTACACGTATAAAAGGCGATGCTATGTTACCTCAGTCGGGCAAAATAACGAGTGCCCTTCTGAAAATGGATACACATCAATTGTGTACTGTACACATGCAACACCATGGCAGCTAAGGTGGTGGATGCAGGCGGGTACACGCTGCACTTGCGCTCCGTTGCGGGGATTGAGTCTTGCTGCTACGTGGACTCCATCGACATAGCGTTCGACCTGGGCTGCCTCGTCGGCCGTGTGGTAAATAAATCGCACGTGTTCATCACGCACGGGCACATCGACCACATCGGCGCAGTGGTAGCGCATGCGGCTCGACGAGCGCTCCAGAAGCAGAAGCCAGCCAGCTACTTTGTACCAGCCCACCTCGAGCCTCACTTGGAGAGCATATTAAAGAGTACGGCCGTCATGCAAGGTGATGCGCCGTTCCCGGCTAAAATCGTACCGCTGCAGCCTTTCGACGAGGTACACATATCGGCCAAGTACTTGGTACGAGCAGTGCCGACCAAGCATCGAGTACCGAGCCTCGGCTACATTTTGTACGAGAAGAAGAACCGCTTGAAACCTGAGTACCGACAGCTTCCTGGCGTGGAGATAGCAGCGCTCAAGCGGGCTGGCCAGGAGATCACGAGCGCCGAGCTTACGCCCGAGATCGCGTACACGGGTGACACCACCATCGAGGTGTTCACAACGGCGGCGGTGAACGAGGGGACAAAGGATTTACTGCAAGTGAAAGTGCTCATCACCGAGGTGCGGAGATGTTCCGAACTGATACTGTATCGAATAAGAGGTGCGAGCAGCTAAGTTGTCTAATTCCGGACATTGCAGGCCACATATGCCGACTCCAAGATGACGATCCAAGATGCCGTAGCCCGTGGGCACATGCACCTCGATCAGGTAGGTTGCACATTTCAGTTGTGTTGTGCGTAACTTAACGGTGGTATCCTGCATTTCAGCTCGCTATCCACGAGAATTTATTTCAGCACGTGGGCTCGCTTGTGCTTGTCCACTTCTCCGCGCGCTACAGTACCGAGGAGTTGGCACAGTCCATTCAGACCCGATTACCGTTGTCGCTCCAGCATAAGACGGTGCTTGGATGCTAACACAGCGATATGGGTTCAACATGAACTCGATTTTCTCTGCTGTGCGTCGTTTGAAGTCCGACAGAAGTGCAACTAGGTTGTAAATTTGTAAAAATTGGCAGATATGCCACGATATGTGTATTCTTTCCCTAATTGTGTCATGGCAATAAATAGTGATGCTACAGACTAATGAACGCATTGTACGGATGAATGTGGAGAAAGCCTAGGACATGGCGCTCCAGAACTCGGAGAAGTTGCGGAGCGGGATCGGACGGGATGCACGTAGCACCAGGATCTCATCGCGCATGAGCATGGGCATGGGGGCGGGTGAGCGGTCGACCATCTCCGTCTCGGCGACTTGCACTTCATCACTGAAGCGCACGGTACGCTTGGGCTTGCGAGCCTTGACGGGCGAGGGCACTTGCGGCGGGTGCGCCGGAATGGCCTGCGCGTCGAAGATGCGGTCGGGATTGGCGTTCGCTTGCTCGCGCACCTTGGTGCGGCGCTGGCGTGAGATCTTATCGTTCGCACGCTCGATCTTCTCGAGAACAGTTAGCGCACGCTCCCACTGGTTCTGTAGACACAGCGCGAGCGCGTGGCGGCGCGAGTTCTGGATGAAGGTGATGGCGTAGCGAATGTTACCGCAAGCCAGCACGAAGGGCGACACGGCCTCCTGGTGTTGCGCCTGTTGCTGTAAAATCTGTTGCTGACGCTGAGCCAACACGGCGGCCACGGCGCGAGGCGAGTGCGGCGAGGCGTCGCTGGCCTGCTTGCTGACCTTGAGGAGGCGCAGGTCGTCGTCGGCGCTGCGTGCGCGCTTGAGCGCGGCCACAGGCGACACAGGTACGACGCACGAAGAGCTCATTATGATAGATCGAGGGGTTGTCGAGCGTTTGTCCGCGGAGTTGGAGACGAACGAAATGGTAATTGGGTAGCGAGCTAGCTGCGGAGCACGAGGAATCGCTGAGAGGCGGCAAGTCTGGTAATGAGAACACAGGTGCAAGTCGGTGGTGGCCAGCGCTGGCTACAGCGATTGGACGCTCTTGCGTCACACAACACGCACACCAATTTGTAACTGAAACCGCACATCTTGGGGTTTATATGGTTGGTACAAAGCCCGAGCAACACCATCATTCGACGGCAAGAGACCTATTAATAGCTGGCATTTCTCACGCAACGTCGCACTTGGCACAACAGCACAACGATGGTATCCAGTGGATACTATCCACTCGCAGTCGGAAAAGCTTTCGTGCCGGCCACACGCTCTCGCTGGCGAGAAGCCCCATCGCCACAGGAGCGGTGCTCGGATCGGAGGGTTGAACTCGCCGCCGCACTGTTCTTGATTTGCGGGGGAAATTTGCCGTCAGTGACGGCGAGTTGAGTCGTCGCGGCACGGGTGACCGAGCCAAGGCTCAGCCAATCAGAAACCTCAGGCAGCGACATGCAGCAATACATGTAGTAAATCGTGCCAGCGTGTGCGGCGAGCGGAAACCGCGCAAGGAACAAGCTGCTGCTTGATGATGATCGTTCGGTGTTCCGAGGGTATACACGCCAACCCCAATCGCTGCAAGGTGCATGCATACACTTGATCAAGTTGATCCGCCCGTCAGATGTCGAGCAGCCTGATGTCGCTTAATCTGAGGCGGACCATGCTGCTGCAAGCAAGCACATACATGTACTGTACCCTGATCGAAGCACGCTAGGTGCTCAGATACCAGTCGTTTTGAATTAACCTTCTTCGCGCCCTTTCAGCAATTATACTAAGTGATGGTTGGGGAATATCCTGAGCGCAGGATATTCCTGAAACAAGCGTCCGTGGCTCGGTAGGCTACGAGTACTTACTGAAGCGGTTTGCACAGCGCTCGATATTGGAGCTCCTTGCTGCTGAAAACCAGTGTTTGCTCGCGACTTGCAGTCGGCACCGCGCCTGTCCTCGTCTGATAATTCAAGCACATCCGAATCGGATTCCGATCGCAGGAAGCGAGCGCCAATCTTGATGCAGAACGCTGGCGGCGCTGGCGGCGACGCAAAGACTGGATCGTTGTGTCGGCAAGCGGCTTGACCACTAGCGTGCCAGTTGCTCCCGATGGGGCGGTGTACGACAACAGCAGCGCGCAATGCGACGCACCGAATTCTCGATGGGGACGAAGTTCCACCCGGCTGGAATGAAGGAACAAACACGAAAGAGGAGATCAAGCCTCGCTGTAAAACCTGCGCATAAGTTCATAAGCTCCACACGCCGCGTCACTTTAAATGCTGCATTCGGGATGCTGGTCGTGTCTGCGTGAGGCGAGACACTTCGACTCGAAGTTCGACGGGCCTGGTTGCGCGTCGCATTTTAGTGTCACAGCCTGTTGCAAACAGTGTTTCGGTACAGTTTTACCGTCCGTAACAAAGGCTGTCTTGATGTCACTCACAGTACGGTAAAAAAACACGTATTTTTCCGTCTGCCACAGTAATTCGAGCGACACAACTCCAAATTTCACTACCGTACCGGTATTTTAACCCATAAGAAAGAAGCCACTGATCGTAGCTAGCATGAGTGGCCGCATCAGCCAGCCTGTGGGCAAGATCGTGCTCACTAACGTGGCCATCGTGCGCATGCGCAAGGGAGGAAAACGTTTTGAAATTGCGTGCTACAAGAACAAGGTGTTTAACTGGCGCAACGGTGTGGAGGAGGACGTCGACGAGGTGCTGCAGATTGCCAAGGTGTACGAAAACGTGTCCAAGGGCAAGTTTGCTAAGAAAAGCGACTGGTCCAAGGCATTCAGTGTGCAGAGCGAGGAGCAGGCATGTCGCGCTATCCTCGACCACGGCGAGCTGCAGGTCTCCGAAGGAGAGCGCAAAGCTCTCGTCGAGAAGTACGCGACCTCATGCTCTTTAAAAACGGTGAGAAGAATACTAACTTTATGTGCTTCCACTGTACGACAGTATGTACCGTGATATCGCTACTATTGTAGCAGACAAATGTGTGAACCCTACATCTAACCGTCCGTACCCGTACACGGTGATCGAGCGCGTGATGAAGGAAATCCACTACGCTGTCATCCCGAACCGCAGTGCCAAGCAACAGGCTTTGGAGCTGATCAAGAAGCTTCCGGAACACATTCCGTTAGCACGAGCCAAGATGAAAATTCAGGTGACGACGCCTGCGTCAGGTGCGCAAGCGATCAAGACGGGCTTGCAGAAGGAAGGAGCGGAGATCGTTGAGCAGACTGGCAGCGAGACCGTGCGGATGGTGGTGCTGATCACTCCTGGATCGTACCGTATCGTCAACTCGTTGGTTCAGGAACACACTGCCGGCCAAGGTTCACTAGAAGTGATCGACCTGAAGAGCCACCAAGAGGGCGAGCACACGATCGATGACGAAATCTCAAAAAAGACGGAGCGTCTTGGACTGGCCAGTGCTCCTGCTGCTGCGACGCCGGCACCAGCGGCGGCTGCGAGTGGAGCGACGAAGAAAGCCAGACCATGCAGTACGTGTGGTGGCGACTTCAGTGCCGACATGAGCAAGTACCGTGAACACTTTCGGTCTGAATGGCACCGCTACAACCTGAAACGCAAGTCCAAGAAGCAGCCAGTGATTAGCGAGGAAGAATTCAACGAGCTTGATACAGAGGACGTCGAGACCTTCCTCTCCTCGATGAGCTAAATGCGCAGAACTATTCAATACACGTCGTTCTGCCTCTCTTATGCAGCAATACTCGCGGTACGTTCGCGGTTCTTCTCTCGATCACAGGCCAATGGAGCAGCGACGTAGACTTTCGCACGATCGAACACTTTGATGGCGTCCTCGATCTCCTGTAGTTTCGTTTCGAGCTCGTTCTTCCGTCGAATTTGATTGAATGTCTCGATGCGTAAAGGCAGCGAGTTCATGCGAAGTTGCGCTTCTGTCAGCGACTTTCGCAGCACGTGCAAGGTGCGCACGCGTTCGTCTTCGTCGAGTAGTACCATCCCTGGAGGGCAGTCTGGGTCTGGTGCATTCTTGCGCCGTTCTTCCTCTTCTCGAGCCCATTGCTCCTTGCGTTCTAGCAAATACCTCGGAATGCGGCCATAGCTGGGGTTTACTGGACGGGAATCCTGTTCTTCGCTGTGTACAGACGGTGTCTTTTTTATAACTTCCCAAGCGTTGGCGTTGACAAACTCGACTTGTTCCTTCCTGGTGGTCTACACAACACGGCGCTTTTAATGGATAAATTATCACTGCTTGACTCACCGAATTTCTTACCATTTTTGCTATTTCCTCATCTCGCTGCTCCAGTTCCCTCAATGATGGCACTGGTGCCTTGCGCCGAATCTGCCGTCTGCTGCCACTACTTGTCGTGGAGCGTGCCGGAGACGGTAGACTGGACACCGATCCAGCCTCACTTCGAGGTGCAGAAGGCGTCCGTGAAGACGAAGATCCTCCACGACGCAAGAAATCGTGTTTTTTAACCTGCTCTCCTTTGGTGGACTGCAACACGATGTCAGCATTGCAATTATCCAGTTAAAATACGGCTTTTGTTGTACCTGGTTCTCTTGAAACACTCGCGGACGTACGCTCTTAAACTTTGTCAGCTTAAAATCCTGTTGCTGATGAGTGTCCTGTCGAGCACACGTCAGCTTAGTGTCCAGTCTTACGGTTCGTTCTATCTTTTAATCCGCGCACCTCTCGCCTTCGACGCTCTCGGTTCTCTTCCTGCAGCTTCTTGACACGTAGTTTGTTTTCGCGCTCAAAGTCTCTGGGCGTTACTCCTCTCCGCTGCTGCTTCTCGCTACAAAAATTAGAATGTGACCGAATGATCACGTTAGCGACCACGTTTCCACGCGCTTAAAAGGCGCCATCCGCTTGGCAAATTGCTACACAAATGCTGAAGAAGGGAGAGGACGCACCGGAATCCCTCGTCCGGGTGCAGGATAGCTGCAATCGCGTCCGAAGCGTTCGCATCGCGCCGACGGAAGCCCACTTCTGCACTCATCTTGAGCAGCCTCTGTTGTGTTACCGAAACCACTTGTGTACTCTATTGATCGTATCTTTGTGAGTGTCCCACATAACCTCTCAAACTCGGTAAGCAGTGTCTGACAGCACTGTCCAGTTCACTCTTTTCCTGCGTGCATCAGAGCTCAAACTGCAACAGGATACGTCGTGATCCGCAGCTCGGCATGGCGTCAACAAGTCTCGGATCTGGTCATTCGACAGTTCACACAATGCGCCAGATAGATCGCTATCGTTTGATATGGGTAGCACTGCTAGTGATGATAATTTCGACTCTAGCGGAGCTTGCGAACGCGTCCGAATGCAGCGCATGTGGGTATTTAGCCAAGAATTGCAGCGCCACAAGTGGAAGCGGCGACGTGGACGTGTGTGACGCGTCTAGGCGCATCCAAATCGACGATGTCTTCTGCAATGGCGACGAGTGTCGATGCGCCAACAGCCACAAGTGCGTGAGCACTGTCGTGGGCTGCTCGAACCTCTTTCAGGCGCGGAACCGGCGTCGCTGTCTTGGCAACACGACGTTGTCTCGACGCTTCGAGCAGTGCGCAATCAACCAAGGACTTACGACACTTAACGCGTCTAACGTGGCCAGTGACTGGATCTACTTTAAACAGGGCACTAAATGCCAATCCGCAGATTGTCTTGCCGTCCGAATGTTCCACCAAAGTGGCCTCGTACAATGCGGAAACTTGTTGGCAGTATGGAAGACCAATTCATCCAGTTATGACGCGTCGGCAAGTGTGACGTTCAGCAGCTCAGAGGGCGACGTGACGTATTATTTCGTCGCGGATGGCTCGCGTGGGAGCGACATGAAAGCTGGCACGTTCCTCTACTCGGTCCCATGGTCTACTGAAGGTGTATCATTACTGACAAAGCAGGCTAATAGCTCGGCAATTAACACATGCTACGTACTTCAGACGCGGAACCAGCCAAACGGCACGTGTCAAGGTGTGTACCTGCAGTTTGACGCTAGTGTGCAATTCGCAAACAGCGACGAGTACGTCATGTCCGAGCTAAGCTGGCCTGTGTGGCTGGCTGTTGTAGGCAGTGTGGCTGCAGCGATCGCTGCCATTGTCATCATGGGCGTTGTGGTCTACCGCTTTCAGCACATGGACTTGTCCCCACCCATGGACGAAGGTGAAGACGGTGGACTGTTGCTGGACGATCTCCACGACCGCAAGAGATCGATCAGCCCTGCTAGTCTCGGATCTACCTCACCAGCTTCGGGAAGGGGCAATGTGAGCACTGACCTGCGTCAACGCGGATCACCAGCACTTGACATGACACTGATTGAGGCTGGAACTGGCAGAACTACATTGTAAAGAAAAAAAACACACATGAATTGACATTTTTTTGGTAAACTTCACATGTTTATCAATTTTGTTGCGAACTTCTCAGATTTCTAGGTGTCGGTAGAACTGTTGTCTTCTCCAGTAAGCTTAGAAGGCCCGCGACGAGAGGTTTCTGCCGCTGCTCGGGGTTGAATTGTCCTCGTATTCCGTCGAGAAGAAGCGGTGTCAGCGCGTGATCACCTTCAACAGCGCAGCGTAGAAGTTGGAGAAAACGTTGTTCGCCTGCGGAGATCTCACGGCCGCTGACTTCGCCTGCTGTCTCGACATGATGCAACGCAGCACCGAGCAGTGCCAATGTCTGACAACAAGCTTGTAAATTCGCTTTCTTGAATCGAAGTCTGGCCAGGGCGAATTCCTTGGACGTCATGTGTGGAGGCAACTCGACATTGTTCGAAAGATGGAGTGATAGTCGTTTCCCAAACGTGCTCTCACTTTCAGCCTGACGAAGTGCTAAATTATAGAGATACAGTTTGGTTAATAACAATATGAATCAATCCTGTTGCTCAACCTACCCAACTGCGATCCTAGCTTTGCCGTCAGAGCCTTCTTGGACTGTGCGAAATCGTCTGTAAGCATGCTGATAGCTCGGTGTTTGACCTTCACACGGCGTATCATTCTGTTGCAGAAAAAGTGTCAGTTATAACAACGACTTCAATATAACGTCGTCAACGTACTTGCGTCGAAGACTTTTGCTCGTAGCTCGTTCAATCGTCATCTCTTCGCTCTTTTGATGATTCTGGGATGTGTGTTTAACCGTTTTGTTCATTTGGAGTGCAGTACCGGATTGCATTTTTATCCTTCGACAACCTGAGGCGTCAAGGGTGTAGCACACACCTCGAGGTGTTGCTCGTCGCACTGGTGAAGATCTCAAGCCACCGTCTTTAAGAGATAACGATGCCATCATATCGCCAATAGTTCGAACCGGGGAGGTCGGAGATGAAGATTCTTCTTCGTCTTCTGTATCACTTAATCTACCTCGTACTACTGTGGCCGTGGAAGGAAGCGAAAATGGTTCCCGTGGACTTTGTTCGACAGCCAGCGGCTCAATTTCATCGAAAAACTTAAGTGCAGGTACCTCTCCGATCATTCGTCGGCTCAGGATACTCGCAACATTTGAAGACTGAGCATCAAGCTCTCGACGAAGCTTACTACCCTGCCTCCCAGCCAAAGTGTTGCTACCTTTAGTGGGGCTTTGCGCATTGTTTTGCTTGGCACCGCCATTGCCGGTTACAATGCTAAGAGCTGCCTGTTCCGATCGACGCTTTCGCTCTCGCCACAGTCGAACAACTGTAAAAAAAAATGAACATCCATTAGTCTCCAGTACACTACAACAAGCCCAGACACTTACATCGTCGGAACGTGGCCATGATTCGCTTCTCCATCTCTTTTGAGTCTTCATCACTGAGATTGTAACCTTTTTTTCGACGAGTTCGGTAATGTCTTTCATTTGAATTACCGGATGAGGTATTGATTGCTTCGTGCACTTGTGGTAGCAGCCTCGGAGACGATACATTGGAGAACCCACGTTGACTGGGGCTATTCATTTGAGGTTGTAGCACAACCTTACGTCGCATCCAAGGGGAGCTGCGTAAGATGGAGTCCAGTTTCGCGGCCAGAGTGCTGACTCTTGAGCGGTGACCGAAGGGCTGCGAAGTCGATGACGGATTCAGCATCATTGCAGTCACTGGAGCACTTTGAGAAAAGATACTCTCCATCTGCAGTTTTCGTCTAGTGAAAGTAAATATTGGTTTATTGTTCGCTCCGAGCCCACTAGCTGCCGCTGCGGTTGCCGCAGGGAGCATCGCAGGGGTCAATGAAATCTGCCGGTTGCGCAGCATGGCCTTAGAGGTGAAGAGTCCTCCAACTATCGCCGCTGTGTTTTCTTCCTCTTGATTGCCAGGAAAAGATGCAGGAGTCGCCGAGCGGGTTTCTTGCCGATCATCTTCATTACGTTTTTGTATGCGTGATTGACGTGGAGCATGTGCGTGTTGGTGTCCAGGAGGTCGTGGGGTAAATCCTCGGCCTGCCCGAGAAAAGCTGCAATGGTTCACTTAGCCAAAAAAATTGTAGTAGCCGAGAAGAGGAGGTAGTGACCCTACCGACAAGCTACTCGACGCTGCTCTGATTGTCGTACAAAACCTTTGATAAGCTTGCTTCCATCTCGCGGTGGAATCGGGCGCGAAGACCTCGTGCGCTCCTTGGCTTCCTTCATGAGGCAGCAAAAATATGAACTTGCGATGCAAATCTAAAATTAATCGTGGATAATTCCAACGGCCAAGGTTCGGCAACAAAAACACCAGCGCGCTTTTGTGTTCATACTGTGATGAAGACAACAGCTCGGTGAGGTCTTGGAGGCGATCTAGTATCTAGGAATCCGACGCCGTGGAACATCAATGGTGGACGGTTAGTGATCAGCTTTGCGTTTGATTGGCAGCCGTATTTGAAGTGTGACGATCTCACAGAGCCAATCGCGTGAGCGAGGCGGCTGGTGACGCGACGAAGCCCTTTCGACAGCGATCTTGTAGAGCCGCGCGTTCGGCAATTTTGTTATAATGCCTGTAGTTCCTACAATCAAAGATTGCTATCAAGGTATCAAGAAGTTCAGACTCTGAACCGAGAGCAACCATAGCGACACTTCATAGCTTCTGGCTCAAAGCTGTTGTTCCACAACAACTTGTGGACTTAGTACAAGTTGCAGTAGGATGCAGGCAGCTGGTAATGCACTGCGCCGCTGGGCGGGAGAGAACAGCCTGTAAATCAGTGCGGCTAGCAGCTCAGCTGCAGCGGCACGCGTCAGTGCTCCCTGTATGCTCCATTATTGGCAGCACTACTAACTGTAGCCAGAAGCAACGTTAGGACGCGCGGTTCCGGTGGAGCGATCCACTATACTACTTTTCAATTTGTGAGAAATCATTTTAGCCGTGGTACTGTGCACTGCTTACTGAGTGTAAGTCAAAAGAAATGAAGGGGCGTCGCAGCCCTAGCCCCGATTGCGATACCTACTATATTTATCTGGATGTGTATACAAGTCGGGTTGGAGCACTCATCTCTTTCAAGTCCCATGCTTGGCAATCTCTCCTTGAAGATTTGCCCGGGTGATCCCGGATCACGGATCAGTACCTCGTCGTCTACCGGAGAGTCTCCGGCGGAGACATCAGTGGTGGCGGTAAACAACTTGTACAGGAATGGTCTGTACTACAGTATCCACGCTTCCCTCAAATCGACCTTTAAACGCAGTGGGGCTGTATCAAGTTTTGGCTTGAATTAGCAAAGACAGATTTAGAAACATCGCATTAGATATGAAAGGGTATTTGGTAACAACAGAGACTTTCCTCAATTTGTATACGCTGTCCGTATATCGTATTGAAAATTCGTCCAGCCCAGAACGGTTACAAAGCGCGCCCACCTATGATTTCCTTTTTGGGCAACTTATGCTCGCTCATTCGCGCAATCGCCTCGCTGCTGGGAAGAAGAGAGAGAGCAAAAGCATCTGAAGGCGAAGCGTCGATTAAAGGCTCGCCCAACGACAGACGCTGCTTAATCTATAAGACGTGGTCTTTGCAGCAGCTAACAGGAATAACGACAGTATTATCAACGAGAATGCAAGCGGACACGTCCTTAGCAACCGCAAGCGAAGTCGCTCTGTCCAACGACGCGGTGCAGGACATGCCAGTCATAGGCAAGAGCGGTAGCAGCGATAGTTCGTCAGCCATTGAAGCCAGCGCCGTGAGCGACACCACAATGAGTAGCAGCGACCGCTTCAGCTCTTGCTCCAGCTCGGACACGAGCTCCGACGCCCTGGACGACGACTACGGCGCGCACATGCTCTCGTCGTCAGACGATGACGACGATTCGGACGACGAAGACGACAACACGGAAGGAGATGAGGAACAGGATGCACAGCAAGACATTGTGAACCAATTCCTGGTCAAGCCCATGCCCTCGAGGCTGCAGGTATGTCCCCTCGACGACCTGGCCGTAGAGGAGGAGAAACGTCGAAGACGATCGCGTCGGAACTTAAAGAACAAAACTAACGGTAAGCACGCGCCGCTCACTGGTGTTAGTCGCGATGCAGAGAGCCTGCCTTCGATGTCCAGTCCGATCATGGTGCGTACTCGTCGTAGCGGCAGCTCTCCGTCGCTCAGCTCACGAGATAGTTCGACTACCAGCACTCCACACGTCACTCGGAATCGCCCCAGCAGCGCTCGAGAGAGAAGACAAACATCTGCTGCACCCGATACTGCCGTTAAACGCTCCAACGGCTCTACACTCGCACCCACTGTCCCTTTGCTTCGAAAAGATTCCGCGGCTATTCGACGACAATACTGGAGTCAACTGGGCTTCAGTTTGTCACGCAGCGACTTGGAGAAAAGTACTGGACGCAAGAAAGAACGTCGCGACGGCTTAAAAGTGCGGCTGAATGACGCTGACTCGGAGCGCGAACATGGCGCAAAGAGCTTCTTCCAGTTCATCACGAGCTGGTATGCGCCTATCACAGCTCTGAGTGGCGAAGAAAAGTCGTCACGGAAAGACAAAGGACGCAAATCCAGCGCTAGACAACTGCGATCTTCTCTCTCTCGAACGTCAGCATCAGCCTCATCGAGCAGTATCGATGTCCATACACCCAAAAGAGGAATACGCTTTAACGAAGAAGCCGAGCTGTTCTACATCCCTCTGCACCGTGACTACTCCAAGCGACAACGTGACTGTATGTGGCCGACTCGTGCCGAGTTCGTGGCCATGGTGGAGCGTAACTTGGACGCAGTATACGACGAGATGGAGCGCGAGTACGAGGCTCAAGTGGAGAATGAGTACCTGGAAAACGAGGGTATGGCTCGGGAGGAGGCCAGACAGCGCACTGTCGAGGCTCAGCAACGCAAGGCTGATGAGGCCCAGGCAGCAACAGAGTCGCGCCGCAGTGTCTCGCCGCCTCTGAGTCGTAACTCGAGCATCATGTCGGCTGTACCGTCGCTAACGTTGTCACAGAAGCACGTGCTGGTGTCGCCTCGTGCTCGTTCTTCGCACGATCTTCGCTTCAAGTACCTCAAACATCTCGGCATCGACAGCTAGACGCAGCAGGAAATGTGAGTCGCGGCGAGGAAGAATCGATACTGTGAGATCCTGGCGGTACCGAGCATTGTAGGCGGTCTGATCCATACTGACGTCACGATAACTTATTTGAATTGACTAAATCACAATTTTATTGATTTGTGTATGGGGATGAGCTGCCGTTGGACTATTAAAGTTGCCGCTTTCTACGATTGGTTGAAAAGGGATTCGTCGCGCTTCATGATTGGCTCATCTTGTGCTTGCACGTGTTGTTGGCAGTCAGTCCAGGAAGACCAGCAGCTCCGAAGACGCGCTCTTCACGCAGCTTCATGGACGCCCCCGCCGCGCGTGCTGCTGTCAGCTCTAGCTGTACGTAAAGATATCTATTTGGCCCTGTCGCCAATGTCCATATTGCGTCTTCATCAAGAGTCCAAATTATAATTTTGTCAAATTTCCTACTTAATTCACATTGCCAACTTCTTGCTTTGCAGCGGCGAAAACGGGGCCTTCAGCCGCCAAGAAGACGCGAAACCGCAAGAAAAAAGGTCGTAGGGCGGCTCCTGCGCCCCCAGCAGCTCCTGCACCCGCGGCGACCTCGTCGTCGAGTCCTGAAGCTCTGGAGGCAGCCGAATCCGACTCCTTACGGAGCGCGGAGGGCTCCACTTCAACAGCGCGTCGCTCCTTTTCGCCACTCAGTGGCAGTAGTAGTCAACGATACAGCAGTGAAGAGGAAGGTGCGAAGGAATATGAAGAGGACGAGTATTCGTCCGAGAGCGAGGAGGAAGGTGAGAGCAGCTACAAACCTGGAGGCTACCACCGTGTACTGGCGGGTGAAGTGTACAATTCGAGGTTTGAGGTGCTAGAAAAGCTCGGCTGGGGGCATTTCTCCACAGTGTGGAAGTGTCTGGACCGAGAGACGGGGGCTCTGGTGGCCATGAAGGTACAAAAGAGCGCACGCCACTACACTGAAGCAGCCAAGGACGAGATTGAGCTGCTGGAGTGTACAGTACATGCCGCACGGACTCAATTTGAGTCCACGGAACAACAGGAAGCCATTAAGGTGATTCGACTTGTGGACTCATTCGAACACAAAGGACCCAATGGTGTGCACGTCTGCATGGTGTTTGAGATGATGGGGGATAATCTATTGACTCTCATCAAGTACTACAACTACCGAGGAGTGCCCATGCAGCTTGTGCAGCGTCTTACAAGAGACATTATGGAAGGACTGGCCTTTCTGCACGACAAGTGTCAGATTATTCACACTGATCTCAAGCCGGAGAACGTGTTACTCTCGCATCAAATCCCACAGCTCCCGAAGATTCGCAAGGCGCAATGGGAAGCATTCCGTGCAATGCGTCAAAAGACCCAAGGCGGAGGAACTACTAGCAACAATGCTGGCTCCTCTGGTGGCGCGAAAATGTCGAAAGAAGAGAAGAAGCGACTGAAGAATCGGCTCAAGAAGAAGCGCCAGAAGCAGAGAAAACAGGGTGCAGCAGTAGATGGAGAGGCTTCGGTGGACGAGAGCGCCGATAATGGCAAGATGGACAGCACTGCTCGCCCCACACTCACCAGCAACACTGTGGACACACTGAGCAACAATTTGTCGCAGCTTGCGATCTCCGCGACTATCAAAAAGAATGAGCCAGCTGACGGCGCTTTCGTGTCGAATTTCGCAGAACTTTCAGCTGACATCGACTCGTCGGACTCAACACGGACATGGTACTACCAAGTCGGACAGCTTGGCGACGAAGAAGACAAAGATTGGATACATTTGCCTCCAGAATTCGCTGCGAGAGTGATGCTGCTTCTCCCTGAGGGTCGTGTGGCTGGATCAAAGAGGAAAGAGCGCGAGTTCACTTTGAGTGTGTCCACTAAGCCGTCAGTTGACAGCGAAGAAGAAGTGGTGGACACGTCGTTCGCTCTGAGGTATGTGGATCACGTGGATGACGACGTGATGAGCTCGATTGAAGCCAAGATGCTAGAGATCCGTGAAGACTGCTCTTCACAGAATTCTGGCTCAGCAACGAAGGTGAAGTACCGGCTCTGGAGACTGGAATTCGACGCCAGATATACACACGCTGTGCTAGGTACGTTCCTTTACTGGCTAATCCTGTGTCTTGTTCCTCACTCACTCGTTTACTGTTTTTGTGTCTTTAGACTACTTGGAACACCGAATTGAGGGTCTTCGCTTCTTGAACCTGTCGACTTCTTCTGGTATCGCACTACCTGGATTCTTCCTCCCGAAGCCACCAAGCAACGAAGATATTAAGACTGCAGCGAAGAAGACAAAGAAACCTGAGCACGATGACGTTCAAGTAGACGTCGTGATACAGGGGATCATGCTCCTGCCTCGGATGGGATCAGAAGACAAGATGAGTCTGGAAGTCAAGCCCTTACAACAACGTCTTGGTCGCTGGGCTGCGCGCTTTAATAAACTGGCAAAGAGCGAGGTGTTCAATCTCATGAAACTTGACGCCAAGATCTGCGATCTGGGAAATGCTTGCTGGACTTCGAAGCACTTTACGAACGACATCCAGACGCGTCAGTACCGATGCCCTGAGGTCATACTGGGCAAACGCTACGACACTTCGGCAGATATCTGGTCCATGGCTTGTTTTGTCTTCGAGTTGTTGACTGGAGACCTGCTGTTTAACCCCAAGAGTGGACGCAACTTTAATCGGGACGAGGATCATCTGGCGCAGATGATTGAGCTGCTTGGTCGCATGCCCAAGTCGTATACGGGGTCTCAGCGAGGCTTACGAGAGTTCTTCAACCGCAAGGGCGACTTGAAGCGTATCCGCAGTCTCAAGTTCTGGAGCTTGCAGCAAGTGCTGGTCGAAAAGTACCACTTCTCACGTCAGGACGCAGAGTGTCTTGCATCGTTTCTGGGTCCGATGCTGCGGTACGACCCCGCGAAACGGGCTACAGCTCAAGACTGCCTCGCACACCCATGGCTGGCACATGTGGATGATGAAGAGGAACTCGCTGACGACAAGAAAGATCGGGAATAGGGTGTAGATTAGATAGAGATGCCGAGCACGGGCTGCCAAGGTGGCCATGGAGAGTGAACTCACCATGAGGCATTGTTGGAGCGAATGGTTGACTATGGCGTAAGCAAACCGGTAACCCTTGCATGGTATTTTGGGGGCATCTTGCGTGTTGATGGGAGTCATGGTGGACAAGAATAGCGACCGATAAAGCTACTTACGGACGCGTACGATCCTAATCTCGGATCAATTGAACAGTACCAACCTCGTAATGTCCGACGAGAGTCATGTGGATCTCTCAGCGGAGGAGCTCGGCGCTCTGCGAGGTCTGAATTAAAGATGAATCTAGTTATGACACGAGGGTATCGAACTCAAAACTGCCTGTTTGTTGTAGCTGTCTTCAATGTGTACGACGAGAATGGCTCGGGCTGCATCTCTACGGAACATATTCCCGAGATTTTGGACAAACTCGGACGTGATGCGACAGAAGGTAAGGCGACAGATTTGGTAAGTATGATCCCTCTTACTGAACGTTCGTGTATATGTGCAGAACTGCTGAACGAACTGGACGACTGCGCCGGTGATAGCGGCGTTATCAACTTCGAAGACTTTTTATCACTCATCCAGAACCACATGCTACGACAGCAACAACAGGAGGCAGGAGGCGCAAGCGGCGATGGACTTCGAGCTGGTCCAGATCCAAAAGTCATGGAGTTCATCACAATCCTGGAAGAGTATCGTCTCAAGTGTGAAGAAGACGGCAACTACCTGGAAGCACAGCGTGCAGACACACAGCTAACAGCACTGCGTAGACAGGAATTCAAACGACAATCCAAGTCGCTCAAGGCGCGTCAAATCGCCGAGCGTCAGGACGTCCAGATCGCGCATAACATGCAGTTTAACGACTTCAATCAAGCCTGGGATCAGTACATGGAAGAATACGACCGCATGGCTCAAGCATACGTGAAGCAAATGACCGAGAAACACACAGTCGACCTCGCAGCGTTCCAAGATAAGCTACAGCAGGAAATCCTCGAACGTCCTCCAAAATTCTCCAAGGAGTTGATCGAGTGGCGTCGTCGACAGCATCGTCTAGCACAACAAAAAAGCTACACGGAGGCGCAGAAGATTAAGCAGATTGCAGATGAGGTCGAAGCTGACGAACGCTCCAGAATGGGCGACGAGTTACGTGGTGCTTTTGCACGTAAAGAGGCAAAGCTACGTCAACATCAACAAGCAGAGCTGGCAGCGCTGTTGAAACGCATCGACGGTCGACGCAAAGAGCATTTAAAACAGCGCAATCTCGACTCCAAACGGTTGCTACAGCGCAATCGCAACGTGCAGTCTGTTCTGGAATCCAAGCAGGTAGCTGAAGCTACCAAGAGGATTCAGGATATCAAGGTGAGTCTCATGCCCAAGGAGAGAGCTGCTCCTCGTGGACCGTTCAACGTCATCCCACCCCAAGCACGCGTCATTCGACCTAAGAAACCAGCCACCTCTCGACCATCAGAGCTTCCATCCGCCTCTCCTATCGACAGCCAGCGTTAATAAAAAAAAAACTTGCCTTTACTACAACTCGTGATAAAAATGGAGAACGTAAAATAAAAGTTAATGGCTACACTTTTACAGATCAAGACCATCATTCTTGCGCATCACCATTTTTTCGTCCAATCGCGGTGTGGTATTATACAAGCTAGCGATACCGCCAGCAGCTCCAAGATGGACATCGGTCGTGTGCTGCTGCGAGACGTGCATTACGTGTGGCGTGAGCGTGTGGCTGTTCTGGAGAAGGATGCGGTGGTGCTGCAAGCTCCGTCCTCAGCCTGGCAAGCTGCAGCTTCTGTTATCACGCGCTCTTCCAAGAAGACGAAGCAGAAGACCAAACCCAAACTGACCAAGCAGCGCAGCAAACCAAAGGCGCCACCGCCTGCTGAGATGCTGCCGCTGGACGGATCTTTAAGCTGCGAAGGGATCGTGGTGTCCTCTGCTCATATGCACTCAGTGCGGCTACAAGACCTTCGCTATGGTCGCGAGTTCCTCGTCGATGCCACATCCAAAGGGAAGAAGCAGATGTGGATCGATCTCTTCGCTAGTGCTCGAAGCAGAGCGAATATCAGCAGTAATTGGCGTGGAGAGCTGTTGCTGATGGATACAGAGGAGAACGGAGAAGAGGTGGGACAGGTACGGGCTCTGACGCTGCTTGACATGCAGCAAGCCGTGGAGATGCTGGTGGCTGCTACTGAGAGCGACACGGACGCCGCAATTGTTCGAGGGTACGATGTGGAGAGCATTCTACTTGGAGACGGTAGTGCGGCGGATTTTATGGAGAATGAGGCCTCTATTTTAGCTCAAAAGCTTGTAGATGAGGACGTACTATTGCCGTTTTGCTGCTCGTGCAGCTTTGTGTACCGTGCGGACCGAGTGTATCGCTTGAATACTGATCATCATTTGATGAAAGAAGCTCAAATTATGGAAAATGATAGCGACGCGGAGGAGAATCAACAGCAGGAAAGCGGACTGTGTCGTGGCCACTTGTTGTGGGTACACGATAGTGCATTCCAACAGCTTCTCGCACACTTTGATCAGCAAGAGGAAGGCATTTCAGGGACAGATGGGGTTCAAGCACTATTACGATTTGGAGCGTACAGTGTTCCAACTGCATTCGCGCTGGCGAACGAGCTCTTGAGTCACGAGTTCATTGTGGAATGCTCTTCCAGTGACGATAGAAGTTCTGGTCTCTCGTTTCAGATGAACACAACGGCCAGATACAAGAAAGTGTGTGCAGAAACCTCAAACAATGGCGTCGTAGATGCCGAACAGCGTCGGGCTGTTGTTTCCCATGAACGAGCGACACGATCGCTGGAAGATCGACGTCGACTGGAACAGCAAGTGCAGAAACTCAAGCACAAGTACATGCGGCTCCTCAACTTATTCTGCTTGTGCTGTGTGCTCGTGCTTGTTGACGCTCTCGTCGCCTCCGTGCTCTTACCGGGTCCACTTAAACTCAGTCTTGTGACAGGACTGTTATTATGGCTGACCTTGAGTGGCGGGACGGCTACTCTTTCTATCAACTTCCAGCCACGGAATCACGAAGAAGAACTGGACCAAGCTTCTCAAGATATACGCGACATGAACCCCAAGACATCTGATCTTCTGCAAACCCAGTTTTCCTCTCCAGATTGGAGCCCAATCGCTAATCTTTCGTCCACCAACTACTCCACGAATAGACGAGCAACAGACGTCATGCAAGATTCCATGGATCGCGCAGTGATCACGCTGACACGAGCTGAAGAAGCCGAAGTGCATTCGTTCCGTCTGGCGATCGCACAAGCTGCATCCGTGCATATTGACGCGACCCGTGTGTTTGCGGATGAATACCTTTTCAGTGTCCTACACGTGAAAAACCGTGCTTTTGCCCACGCGGTGACGAAAATGGCTCGTATAATCGAGTGGCGACACACGTATCAAGTGGATTCGATCACGTGGGATGACGTGAAGTCACAGTTGGCGTCAGGGAACATGTATTGGTATGGCTACGATTTCCAGAATCGCCCGATTCTATGGGTTCGTGCGATGCTAAAAGACTGGAATACGATGGCAAGTCGACGTGAAGCGGAGGTCCGTGCACATGTGTACCTATTAGAGCTCGGTTGTCGACACTTTATGCCGCCTGGAGTCACCACGTATACAATTGTGACGGACTCGGCTGGACTGGGAATGTCACAAGTTGAACTTCGTCTTATGCGTGGATTGCTGGATGTGTGTGTAGCTAACTTCCCCGATCGAATTGGGCTCGTCCATGCTGGTCCGCTGACACGGTTCCTCAAGTACATAACGTCGTGGCTTTGGCCTTTTCTACCGATACGTCTGCATGGCAAGGTTTCACTGATGCAAGACTGCGCAGTGGAACTTGCTAAGCACATGGATACAGAACTCATCCCTCTGCACATGGGTGGCTCCGTCATGCATAACCTTCGCACGCCAATAAATAGCCCCACGGAACAGGATGATATCATGGAAATCACATACATGATCGAGCAACAGAAGCACTTTATGGAGGATCTTAAGATTCCGTAACAACTCTTTTTCGCATCGGAAACGAAAGGGAAATAACATGTTAACAACTTAAACGATTGTTAACATTTAACCAAGTGCAGTTATCCTCGCTTGATTTCTGTTTGGTATTTTAGAAATTAAAAAAGTGTCAGTCTTTTATCGCATCGAATGTCGAGCAACTTACCGAAGGTGTAGAACAACTTGAGGTGTTCAACGCGATCGTCGTCAGCGAAGATGAATCTGCCCATGTATTTTCCGCGATAGAAAAGTCCCGACGGAGCTTCCATCCATTCGTGACGAGGGAAGACGAATACGTAGTTTTCGGATCGTGGAGCGTATGATCCCAAAACGATCTCATCGCTCGTGGATAGCACAGTCTTCTTAACTTTGTTTCGGAAGCGTAAACCACTGACAATCGCCTGGTTCACACGGAATGAAATGGCGAAGCGGTAGCGAGAGCCTTCAGCCATGACAAAAGGCGTCGTGCGCATGTGCTCCGCGCCCTCTAAAGTGTCCAGATTGTACACAATGTCCTCTCGTCCATCTTCAAACTCGACCTTGAACTCCTCCACCACCACTCGGCGGGTGTCATTTGCGTCTATTAATGCAGCCACAACAATACTGATCAAATAGGTGTAGCTATGTCAAGGTATGGACAGAATCTGTCAGGACCTCCTCGATCTCCGCTAGCTGCTGATCCCAGTAGCTGCTCCTTGTATCTCCTTAGACTCTCGTCTTCTGCGTCTTTAGCCAGCAGCTCGTCCACCGACTTGATCGCTTGGGTGCTCATCTGCCCGCACACGCAGCATCTGTGTCAATAGAGTACAGCTTTTGCTTCGACATATTGTGAAGCGCACCCGATAGTTCGATGGTGACATGACATCTTCGCCGTCTCGGCTGCTGATAGGACTAGCAGTCGTGGCCTCATCGGCAGCAGCGTCTGCCATGTTTCTCTGCAACTACGATCTTTAACGGATGAATACATTTTGCCAAAAATAACTGTTTCACGAAAATAACACCAAAAATAAATATTTTCGGACAGTTTATTTTCGTTAATATCGTTGGTGGTCACAGTCGACGCAGCGCAGCCATTTATCGACTAGCAACTCTGTAAACGATGCCTAAGGCCGAGAAGGGAAAGCCCAAGCGCGCGTGTCCGCTGGAGAAGCAGCTGGCTTATGACAATAAGCCGTGGTACAACCAGAGCAGCAACAAGAACGATGGCCGCGATGCCGATGACTCCGACGACGACATGACCGAAGACGTCGTACCCGAGAAGTTGAGCCGTCGCACACTGGCGCTCGCCAAGCAGCAACAGGCAGAAGAGCAGGCCCGGCACAACAGAAGCAAGGCGCAGGCTCCTGTCAATGAACAGGCCAATGACAGCAGCGATGAGTCCGAATCCGAGGCGGACGAAGACATGGACGAGTACGACGGCCAGGACCTCGTGCGCATCAATGGCGACTACGTGGAGGAGGTGGAGATCTGCGAAGACGACGAAGAAGCGCTCGCCAACTTCATGATGGGCGCGCCTGAGCGTCGCAACCTGGCGGACATCATCATGGACAAGATTTTTGAAAAGGAAGCTCGTGAACGCGGCGAGATGGACGACGACGAGGCTCCACAGAACAGTAAATTCGATCCCAAGATCGTCGAAGTGTACACGGGTGTGGGAAAAATCCTGCAGCGGTACACGTCCGGCAAACTGCCTAAAGCTTTTAAGGTGATCCCGAGTCTGAGCTACTGGGAAGACATTTTGTGGCTCACCAGCCCCGAGAAATGGTCGCCGCATGCTATGCGCGCGGCTACGCGCTTGTTTGCGTCCAATTTGAACCCCAAGATGGCGCAACGTTTCTTCAACATCTTTTTACTCGAGCATGTGAGGCAGGACATTCACGAAAATAAGCGTCTGAACTTCCACTTGTACATGGCTCTAAAGAAGGCGCTGTACAAGCCTCAGGCTTTCTTTAAGGGCATCATCATCCCTCTATGTGAGTCCAGAAACTGCACACAACGTGAAGCTGCTATTATCGGCAGTGTGTTGTCCAAGGTGTCGGTGCCTGTGATCCATTCGGCTGCGACGCTGATGAAGCTCTCGAGTATGGAGTACTCGGGTGGAAACAGTATGTTCATCCGTGTCCTGCTGAACAAGAAGTACAGTCTTCCCACCCGTGTGATCTCGGAGCTCAGTCAGCATTTTTTGCGCTTCACGTCCGACACACGCAAGCTGCCGGTGCTGTGGCACCAGTCGCTGCTGGTGTTCGCCCAGCGCTACAAGAACGACATCCCTAAGCAGCACAAGGAGGCCATGAAGCCGCTACTTAAGCAACACTTTCACCACCAGATTACACCTGAGATCCGTCGCGAACTCTTCAACGAGGTGTAGATAGAAATACATAGCTGGAAAGCGTGAAGAGCTCTTCTTGGATACATCCACGCATACCTGTCTGATATATAAAAGTTACATTTGGTCTTACAGAATCTGTGCGCTTGCACATCGAACGGTGTATATATCCAAAAGCTGCTAATTTCACGGTCGAAGGGCTGTGCTAGTATCCATTTCCTCCAGCAATTTACTATTCGCACAACCTGCTTTCGGTGACGATAGCACCGAAATGAAAGAGTTAATGGTTACCTCCTCAATAAAAATCTTACCACAAATGACAGAATCTGTAGACGCGTTCGAGTTGGAGCGCTCGTTGTTCAGCGAGAAGGGCGTGTGGCTCTACCAGGTTCCAGCAGGTCAAGTGACGAGTCTGGCGCCACGTGCTGATGCGTGGGACCCGGAGCATCCGTTTCTCACAGGGTCGGTGCGAGTCTTGCAAAAGGGCGACGCTTGCTTCGTTCAGCTCTTTGAACCTGTAGCAGAAGATGCCGAGACTACTGCAACCCCCACACTGTTCGCTCAGTGCCCTTTGCAGATAGCACGCGAGCTGTCACTAGACGTATACGTACACGACTGCGTGGATTCATCACGCTACTTCATGCTGCGTGTAGAGGACGAGCAGACCAAACGTCGCGCCTTCGTGGGCATCGGCTTCCCAGACCGCACAGCGGCGTTCAACTTTAAGGCTACACTGCAGGACTACGCTAAGTACGCACTGAGGCAGCTGGAAGTGCAGTATGAGACTGCAGAAGCCGAGACGTCGACAGGTGAACGAGTGTCCCCTAAGAAGGACTTGAGTCTGCCGCAAGGAGCAACGATCCGGATAAACCTCAAGACCAACGGCATAGAAGATGGAGAGAGAAGTACACGGCTTCGAAGCAGCGGTGAAATGTGTGCAGTGAGTCCAGCCAAGGTGCCACTTATCCCGCCACCACCAAGAGACTCACCTTCGTCGACGGTGAAGGTTCCAGCCATTGCACCTCCACCCGCAGTGGCGGCGGATGATGAAGATTGGGGAGACTTTACGTCAGCTTAGCGAGAGGAAAGGAAGTGGAAATCAAGTTGCAGGCATAAACAAATCAGACTTGTACATGTACTTCTAGTACTGGTTAAATAACTAGTTGTGTTCATTACAGTTGGAGCCCTAACAAATTTCCCTCTCGTTCTGTACACTTTAGTCCACCAGTACATCCAGGAAATCACCGAAGGCGTTGAAAAGCGACGAGGCTTCCTCGCTGTCGCAAACTTGCGTCAGTATGGAAATGCTGGACTGGAGAATGGGGTTCAGCTCCTCGTCGGAAGAAGAACTGCTACTTTCACGCTCGAACGTCGTGTCTGTGAGCTCCAACGCCAATGGCTCGTCGTCATCGTCCACGTACTCGAAGCGACAGGCGCTTTCTTCTCGTCCCGTTACAGCGTGGGCAACGCCGTCAACCACCTCGTCCGACACATCCGCCACTAGAGCTGCAGCATCGATCAGCTCGTCCAACGACGGTAGCACGCTAAGCGCCTCCTTCATCACATGCATGGCCTTAGTCAAGCCTGTAGCTGCACTGACTGATGCTCCTGCTTGGCGATAGTTCTCTCTATCCAGCGACTCATGTAGAAGGTCTCGACATAGTAAGAACGCATCGTGAGCTTCTTCGCTATTCACGGTCTCGTAGATCCATTTGAGTAGATAGAAGGCATTCTGAGGACCCAGAACTTTCACCAGCATCTTCACGGTAGCTCGCGTCTCAGTGACGGCTTGTTCTTCGGTAAAGCACTTGTCCACTGCAGGTACTAACGCGCGTAGCATCCGATACGAAGGCACAGCGATAGCATGTGATAGAACATTGACAGACGCGTTGCCAGTGATGTCCATGCCTTGCCACACGGCGTTAGAGACCGACGGTGGGATCACATAGCTCACAGTCTTCCCTACAGCACCAGAGATTGTAGATGCCGTGGACACTGCACCGTGTGTGATACCTCTAGCCACATGTAGCCCCGTCCTCGCTACGATCCCCGTAGATGCCACAACGGCTGATGTAGCCAATTGATGAGAGGTTGACACGGCACTGGAGATCTTCCGTCCACTATACGTGGCGACACGAGTGGGGATCGCCACGGCGGTGGATACGCCGCTGTGTACTAGTCGTACAGGCAGGTAGAGCAGCTGAGCGACCCCGCTGCTCTCTTGATGGTGTTCTGTTGGTTCGAGCAGCTCTATGGCCTCCTCGTTGTCGCTGCTCGTGCAGCTTGTGCTGCTACCCGAATGTTCCCCGAAGAGATCAGCTTTGTCTTCCTGCTCTGATCTCGTCCACGACTGCGTGATACTAGCACGTACGTGGTTGGTGAGGTGGATCGGGGCTGTCACGGCCATGGTCGTGGCGTGGACGGCCACTTTTCCGGCAACAACGTACGGGAACAGCATAAAGTTCGCAGCGGATGAAGCGACGCCCAGCGTCGTCTGTAACGCCGAGCGCTGTGTCTCCTGCGCGGCCTCTGGTATCGGTTCTAGTTCCTCCATGACCACGACCGTCTGCTGCTGCTCCTCGTCCGCTTCGCTCTCACTGTCAATGAAGGCCTCGCTCACGAGACACTCGCCAACGTCGGTCATCATGAAATAATCTGAAGTGATTTATGAAGTCTTGCACTGTAAGGTACAAGATATCGGATTAAAGAGGTGAACGGATTGAAGAGGTGACAAGTTGGCCGTGGCACATGGTGCCGCAACGCAGCGATCGACTAAAACTCCAGTACTGTACCGGTACGGTAATGTACAGTAGCGTTGTTATACTTCAGACTGTACCGGTATCTGAACAGCTCATGTATACACTGCCTCTCATGTTTTGGATTGATTAAAGGCGTTCCAGTTCAGCTCTATGAAACAGTCAATAGCGGATTTTGTTGGACGCGTTTCTGCGAGTAAGGTACATGTAGTTGCCAGCGTGCTCACAGTTACTGTAACGCGGTCGTTTTTCACTTCGAATCGACCACCTAGAAATCTTTTCCAAGCGCTTCAAGACTTGAAGGCAAGGCACTAACATCGTAGCGCGGATAGAGTTTGAATTATTTCGATACATAAGTCCTGTCAGCAGCCAGCTGAAGCTGTAGTGACAGTCTCACTGGTCGCGCAGTGAGCTTCAGTCGGACGTGGTTCGGGCAAACCGCTCGCAGCGGCGCCATCATCACTTCTTGTTGCCATCCGAACTTTAGATACCGGTACTAATACAGTACATGTAGTATCGGGGCGGTGTACATTTGTACTGTACGAGCTGAAGCCCAAATGTGGGGCCAGCGCTCAATTCTTACCAAAGTCGATGTCGAAGTCTGCGCGCACGCGAGATTTGCCGCCAAGCTCACGCTTAAAAGGCGACGACCGGTCAGACCACTTCTTTACCAGAAGCCTTCTCGGATGCCACCTCATTCGAGCTGCCCTGCGACCCCCAAGCGTGTTGGATAAAAGCCGCCAACATACTTGTCTGGGACCTCGCCAGCTAATAATGTACTTTTAGTGTAAGTTACACAGGGCAAAGGGCAAGTGTCGTACTTCCACGATGTAAGACGAGTCCTCAACAATAACTGTGGCCTTGTTCATGTTTAATACGAGTTTAACAGTTCCAGTACTTCAAAGATGACAAAAAGTAAAACGTTTCCTGAGCTCCGTGTACTGTTTTACTGAAAATTATAAATAGCCCTATATGCGATTTGGCGAGTGATTGGTTGAAAGGGGCTGGTTCGCCCATCCCCAAACGGCGTTAGAGCAGGTCTAATTTAGCGCAGTTTCAATTTCAATACATACAGTAAGTCAAAATTCTCTTGTATCTTATATACAGCAGAAGATCAATTCTGGCAGCTGATCAAATTCGTAGTTAGCAGCACCCCTCCGTTTTGCAGAGCCTTTTAAACTGTCGTCCGTTCTCTTGGGTTTTGCCTCTCTCCCTTTTCTGCTTCCGTCTCTCTGTCAACCTCCCTCCAGAGTTAAAAAGTCCGAGCAAAAGGCTTTAGCACAAGTTCGGCGCTCGCCCAGATCTGTCGGTGTGCGTTGTCGTCTCCTCTCTCTGCTCCTGCGACGCCGGAGGCGCGTATGCAGGACTCGCAGTCTTCCACGCACTCCAAGTCGGCGCGGCGCTCGCCGCTCACGTCCAGTCTGGACGATCAGGGCAGCACGCCGAGCGCCTCGTCCTCGTACTTCATCGAGGGCCCGTGGGAGCAGCGTAATCGCCGTTTCCAGAACGTGCTGCTCCATGTGTGTAGCTTTATCCTGATCCTCGAGTTCGCCGAGCGCGTGAGCTACTATGGTATCAACCAGGGCCTCAAGAACTTCATGGGCAAACTCGGCTGGTCGCAGGTCGGCTCCAACTCCCTCAAGAGCACGTGGACCTCAATCTGTTACCTATCGCCGCTACTAGGTGGCTACATCGCCGACGAGAAGTGGGGGCGCTTCAAGACGCTCTGGGTTTTTGGAATATGGTACACTATCGGCGCCTTCCTGGTCACTGCCTCGGCCTATCCAACGTTTATGGAGCCCGAGCACGGCAACCACTTGGTCGGCAACGTTCTGTGCCACCTCGGTCTGTTCGCCGGCGTGGCAGTAGGCACAGGAGCCATCAAGGCCAACGTCATCACGTTCGGCGCCGACCAGTTCGACCCCAACGACCCCAACGAAGTCATGCAGAAGGAGCATTTCTTCAGTTATTTCTACATCGTCATTAATCTGGGTGCCATTTTCTCATACGGTTACTTATCGGTACTCTGTGTCGAAGGCTCAGGCGCCATCACGAAGGAGTATGGCTATTTTGCGAATTTTTTCATTTGTGGCGGAGTGATGGTCTTTGCCTACATTTTGTTCCTGTTTGGAGCTCCCCGATATGTCCATTTCGCGCCGCAGGATAGTGCACTCACCAAGCTGTGTACGATCGTCTTGGGGAATTGTGCGTTCAGTTTCGAGGCCAGGATGCTGTACTACGGTCTGATCGCCTTTGGGTTGGCGTTCCCACTCAATCTACTCGCGTCTTTTATGTCCGACTGGCTCTCGGTCGGACAGTATTTGTCGTACCTTGTTGTACTATGCTGTGCGTTCGGCATGTACGCATGGATCCGCTACGGGATGAACACAGCTTATATGGACAAGTCGAAGGCGTCGAACGGCGGCAAGTTCAACGACGAGACGGTGGACGAGATTAAGATGGTGATTCGAGTGCTGCCTTTCGCGTCCTTCATGATCATGTGGGAGTGCGCGTACGACCAGCTAGACGCCAATTTCCAGTCGATCGCTCAGCAGTGCGATCTTCGCATAGGTGCCGACAATGTCACGGATGTAGACGCCATTCAGGTCCCCGGTGCAAGTCTAGGTATCTTCGATCCGTTGACCATCATCCTGCTGATCCCTGTGCTGGATGGCTTTGTGTACCCATTGTGGGGGAAAATGTTCGGACGACCACCCAGTGCCTTCGGTAAAGTGCTTACCGGGCTTATAGTGGCCATGCTGACGATGATTTGGTCCGGGTTCTTTGAGATCATTCGACGAAACAGCGGCGAGATCACGTATCTGGACGCGGATGGTATCCTTCAGACTATTCCGAACAATGGATCCGGAGAGCCAATGAACCACACGTACTGGGCGTACGCGATCCCGATGTATGTGTTGACGGCTGTGGCCGAATGCCTGATCAACGTGACAGCTTACGAGCTGTTCTACACAGAGGTGCCTGTGTACCTTAAGAGCACATGTCAGGCCATCAATCTGTTCATGGTTGCCATGGGAAGTAATCTCACGTCCACGTTCACGTTGCTGTTCGAGCACTACATCACGAACAACCTCAACGACGGCCACTTTGAGTACATGTACTGGACGCTGGGCGCACTTAGTCTAGTGAACATCATCGCGTACGTGATAGTGATGAAGTGGATGGAGTTCGGAATGGTGCGCTTCGACGCGGACGACGAGCTGCTCGATGGCACGGTGTTTGATAGTCATGGCGTGGACATTACGAGCATCCAGCGACACTCGTCGTTCGAGAGCATTTCCTTGTCGCGAGGGTAGTGCTCTACTTGGGATCCTTCGATGGTGGTCTGTTGATACGATTATTATGGGTAGGGGAGAATAAACGAGTTTTTTTTTCAGTTTCAATAAATATTTTAAGCTGTAAAAAAATTTAGTGCGATCTTCATGGCCAACAAGAAAGCACGTGTGCGGAAGGCACATGGCGGGATACGCTTGAGTTCTTTGTCATCGGAGAAGGAGGTGACGTGGCGACCTCATTCAGTAGCTGAGCTCTCTACAGTATTTGTCTACAAAGAGATACCGGACGAAGTGCTGGTTGGCACGGAATTAGACTTGTCGGTACGTTTACTATACTGCTGAATGCTCGTCATTCGCTTCATGGTTGTGTTTGTGTTGTAGATTTGGTCTGTGGTAGCGTCCGATGCGTGTTTGGCGAAGATGTTGCGCAGCTCTGGCAGTTCGAGTCGTCCCTGGTTGTCGAACCAGTTAGCGGACTTGCTCCCATCAGCTGCAAGTGCTTTGGCTCTTAATAACGCGCCCACGACTCCAGTGAAGCAGCAGAGCATTGTTCGAATAAACCTCTCTGGAGCAGATCAAGTACGGACAAATGACGCTGCTGACCCTTGAGATCATTGGACTGACGAAATGTTCCGATAGATTACTGACAAAACCGCTCATATCATTGCCAAGGCGTGTCCAGAACTTCAACATCTCAACTTGGAGCGAGCACTTAAGGTGAGTACATGAACGAACTTAAGTGTATCGAGGTCGCGTGCTAACGAATTTCGGCTCCTGTAGCTGACAGATTCGGGTGTTCGCCACATCGTGAGCTGCTGTCGAAGTCTTGAGTCTCTCAATCTCAGCTACGTCACAGCGTTACAAAGTCCTGCTCTTAGCTGCATCGGAGAGTTACGACTCCCACTACGGTGTGAGCTGTTAAAACCCTCGTCTTTCTGTCAAATTTATAGTTCTCTCTCTAACTTTTATTTTTCTTCTTGCAGCGCTTGCCATTGCTGGCTGTAATCGAGTTCCAGACTATTCACTTTCACGAGTCCTGCAAGCCTGCTCCACGCTTGAGCTCTTGGATCTCTCATTCTGTGCCAGTGTGACTGACAATATTCTGCAAACATTGGGCAAAAATTGTCGGAAACTACGACAATTGAAACTTCGAGGCTGTCGTCAAATTTCCGATACCGGCGTGGTGGCGCTAGCTAACTCTGGAGGCGTCAACGGCCTGGAGCTCTTAGATCTGACTCGCTATGATCTGCAGTACAAAGTCAACGACATCTCACTGTTGGCTCTGGCGGAAAATTGTCTAGTGCTACAGACTCTGATCCTCTCGGGCTGCGATATGGTTACCGACGTCGGGATGGATTGGCTGGCTTCTGGGTGCAACGCATTGACGCATCTCGATGTTTCAGGCTGCACAGCTGTGACGGATCTGACGATGCGTGCAATTAGCGAGAGTATGCTGCAACTGAAACAGCTAAAACTTCGACATTGCACTAAAGTAACCGATCAGGGGATTCGTCGACTGTCTTTAAGGTGTCCAGAGCTGCTTTCTCTCGATGCCGAGGGGCTTACATTGCTCTCAGACGTACATTCTACTCAAACTACAGGCGTGTATCGGCTAGGAATCGCTGCGTTGGTAGCTGGCTGTCTTAAACTGCGTCATTTAGACCTGTCGAATTGTGTAGCCATTTCAGATGGAACGCTACATTGTGTAGCCATGTCATGCTCTGAGCTTTCATCGTTGCTCCTGTCAGGATGCTATCGTGTTACCAGCATCGGAGTGAGTGAAATCCTAGCTCATTGCAACAAATTATCGTCACTGAATGTTACGGGGTGCGATCGAGTGACAGATCAAGCGTTCGTAGGTGACTTTCATCGTTCTCGACACCAACAACCAATTTCTCCAATAAATAAAACTTCGACGCGAAATACACCAAACCAGCTCATCTCACTGCGTCTTCGCGGTACTCAGATAACGGATCTGACGTTGAAATGGGTCAGTAAGTACTCCTCATTGCTCCGTGAGCTCGACGTGTCTGGCTGTGCAGAGATCACAGACATGGGTTTATTAGCACTTGCAGGCTCGATAATGGCTACATCTTTACGAAATCTCTGGCTTCGAAGCCTTGACAACATCACTGCAACGGGACTATCCTGGCTAGCTGGAAAGTGCACAAATCTAATGCTGTTAGACCTCACCGGTTGTCCAAAGATCCGCTCGTTCTCAATCAAATCGCTCGCTTCGTCGTGGAAGTTTGCAGTCTTCAGTAGCAACGAGCAGCTCAAAGGCATGACACCTCGTCATCGTGCAGAAGACTGGCTCTTCATTGAGGAATACGGTAATTGCTGGCGAGCTGCGGTTCATATCCAGTGCATGTACAGAGCTCGAGTGGCTCGTAAGATCGCACAACAGAAGCGAGAAGAGCGTTTAGTCTTGTGGGTAGCCATGCGCTTACAGAGCGTCTATCGCGGACGTCAAGCTCGAAAATACGCCGTGATTCTGCGCATTCAACTCTACAAGGAGACCGAAGCTGCCACGAGAATTCAACGAGCCTATCGACAGCTCCTGGATCGACGAGAAGCTCACCGTTTACGTGAGATTCGACGTCAAGAAGAAAAGTTACGAGCTGCTCGAAGTATTCAAGCGTCTTGGCGGAAGAAGCGTCTGCGTGAGAGACTTCAAAGTCGACATTTACGGCGTTTAGCCTACGAGGACAAGCTGCAACGTAGTGCCATTCGTATCCAGCGACATTGGAGAGGTAAGAAAGGGAGAGAGCGAACGAATTTAATGCGTGCAGCAAGGAATGCAGAAGAACGACAAGAGTTCGAAGCAGCCAGAACGTTACAGAGTATTTATCGCATTCGTATCGCTCGTCGAGCTGCGAATCTGAAGCGTGAAGAGCGGAAAAACGACGAGATTCGACGAGAACGAGCTGCTCTGACATTGCAGAATTGTATTCGAAGACACGAAGCAAAGAAAGAGCTGCGCGCGATGAGGAAATACGTAGCAGAAGTTAACAATGCTGCCGTTAAAATTCAGAAAAGTTGGCGTGCGAAGAAGAAATATCAAGCGAATCGAGTGATCGCGATGGTGCGACAGAAACAACGGGAGAATGCGGCGGCTGTTAAGCTTCAAGTGGCGTGGAAACGTCGGAGAGCTCGGATACAAGTCAACTTGATGCGGTTGGCTCGAGATTTACAGACTCAGCAACTGGTCGACGCGACGTTGATGGTGCAAACCAACTGGCGCGGACGTCACGGACGTTTGCAGGCGCGATCGCTGAAGCAAACGACGTTGGAGACAATCTCGCAGTTAGTGAAGATCCAACACCTTGCTGTCACACTTGTACAAGCGCATTACCGTGGATGGAAAGGACGAGAGAAATACCGACAAGCACAACTGAACAAGAAGAAACGGTGGAAAGAAATCACTCGACCTGAGGACGGCGAGAAGTTCTACTATGTACGTTTGAAGCTGTACTCACGTGTTTTGCTCAATTGCTGATCGTACACGTTTTGTACGCACGTAGAATCGAGTCACGGGTGAAGTGCGATTCCGTCGGCCTCAAGACGTGCTGGATCTGCTGCCAAAACCTCTTTGCGAAAATTGCGGTACGGTTGAGAATGATGTTGCAAATTTTAAAAGTGATAGTGAGACTTTTGCTCTTTGTAGAGCATACGAGTGAGGCGACGATGGAGTGTAGAGACTGTGGGGAAATGCTCTGTAGCGTGGTATGTGTATCATCTTCGCGTGGATCGGAGATAAGTGTTGCTCATTAGGAATCGTGTTGCTGTAGTGTTGGACCAATGTTCACTCGGGTGGTCGACGGAAGTTGCATGAGTTTCGAGCTCTGTACGACTACTACAATCGACGTGTGGACTACGGGGACTGGGAGTTCCCGTCTCGTTGGCCCTCAGAGATCGAGCAGGACGAGATGGACGGCTGGGGGCTCCGCACACACCCACGTCGTCGTCCCGATGAAGTGCAGGGCGTATGGGAACGATACGTGGACTCTGATACCAAGCGAGAGTGGTTCTACAACCGTGAGACGGACGAGAACTCGTACGTCCCACCTGAAGGATTTTTCTTGCGTTCGAACGGCGAAACTTCAGCCACCAGCGAGTGGATCAAGTACTTTGACGAGACTCAAGGTGTACACTACTACTACAACAACAGGACGCAAGAAAGCACCTTCGACCGACCGGCGACGTACGCGACGCCACGTATTTCGCCGTCGACAGCAGTCTCCAGTGCGAACCAGGAAGGTTGGGAGAAGCACGTTGACCCGCACAGCAGGTATCCGTACTACTACAACCGATTGACGATGGAGAGTGTATTTGCTCGACCGATGGGTTTCGTGACTGGACGTGAGGACGTGGAGCTGCCAGGTTATGCCAAGTACTTTGATGCGGAGAGCGCTAGTTATTACTTATATAACGCGCAGAGTAATGAGAGGTGCGTCGAGAGGCCAGGTGCGTTCGCAACGCCACGCATTTCGACGACGGAAGCTGTTGGTGACGGTGGAGACGAAGGTCTAGCGGAATTCTACGACCCTGTCACGGGTAAAGCCTATTTTTTTAATGCGCGCACGACGGAGTGTCGACAGGCTTCGAGGACGTGAAGCGGACAAGTGAGAAAACACGTTGAAGTCGAAGGTGCAAGCAAGCACTTTAATGCGCATCAAGCGACACGAACGCCGGTTCTCTATGTGTCGAAAAGCGGGGCAGACACGCACTTGTCACGCCGATTTCGGTGCAAGACAGCGTGACAACTTCAGTTTTGAGCCGATATGGCGAACAAAAGACGAGAACGACTCCGGTGCGTCATATCAGCAATTCCCTCGTCGTGATTGACGACGAGTGTATGTAGAAGTACAGCTGGAGCCTGCTGCATAGACCGCGAAGAGGTGCAAATCCTGACTGTTTGGTCTGTACGACCCTAGCGCACTCGATGTGAGAACATGTTGCCAGGAGCTCCGATAAAATTATTCCTCTCGTCAACTTTCTTCAAAATGAATCGTGTTTGCGGCAGCCATAAGCAAGCTGGTGGTGGATCAGGTGTTAACACTCGTATGGTAATCTTTTGCTGGATTGTGCACATGGGCCCAATCTACAACGTTAAATATACTTTGGCTTCCTTCGAATGGAGCGTCGCGCTCCATCCAGCCCTGCCTGAAGTATCTTCACCGGCTAGTGGGAGAGACTTCAATGCTAGAAGGATAAATGAAGTGGTTGTTAATTTCTGGGATCTCATGAAACTCGTTCCAGTATTCTAGAAGCCCCAGAAATTGAATGGCTTAGCATTTGTGGATACTGCATGCTGTCATGGGACTTCAATTGTGACATCATGCTCGCGATTGATGTACGTGACGCCACAAATGAGGCACGGCTGCCTCACGCCATCGCTGGCAACGCTGCAATGTGGATCACGCGTCAAGTGATTCAAGTACTATATGCGATGCCGAGTAGGTGACCCAGTGCTTGCACTTTGAAGTTTGAAGTATTCTGCGCGTATTTCTTGTCTTGCGTCGCTTCGCTGGCCGCGGGTCACTCGCAAAATCGAGTCCAGCGCGTCAGCATCAAGCCTTTTGCACCAAGCAGGCTGTCTTTTTAGTGAAGGAGTGAGTAAGATATTCAGGGTAATGACTTCATCGTAGCTGCATCAACCCATCGCTTCGTCCAAACCAAGCGAAGATTCCAACGGAAACGCCAAATATCGTACATGTAATATAGGAAGATCACGCCCACGCCCATCCGGCATCAACAGCCAGAAATCTGTCGCGTGAATGACGGCTTGTGCAGAAAAGGTGGATAAACAGGTGGCAAAGCGATGAACTTCACCTGGTCATTCCGCAATTCCCTGCTTACGAGCCACTCAAGCAACAGCGATAGCCACAATATTTGCATCAATTGATACCGACAACCGCCACCTCGGCAAATGTTCTCAGGGCGGCATCATCAGTCTCAAGACTCTATGGAAAAGGAGCTGAGCAACGCCAGCGGCCTCACATTGGGTGAGTCTCCGCTACACACATCCAGTCCTCGATGCAGCCTCTTTCGACGCAACAAACGCTCGTCCGACAGTGTTTCAAGACTGTCAGTCACACCGGACGACACAAGACCCACTCGTCACTTGTCGAACAAAAGCTCATCTTCCAGTAGTGGTTCACGACGATTGTCACTGCCTCACACCATCACAGAGAGACATGGAGGCCAGGAGCTCTGGGTCAAAGCCCCCGTGGTCTCCGGAGCGCTCGAGAAACGCGGCTTTCGCTGGCGTAAGAAGTGGAAATTGCGCTACGTGGAGCTAGACGGGCGACAACTTGCCTACTATGAAGACTCGGGGGCTTTTAGTGTCACGACAGCAACTGCTAGTGGCACTAGGAGGAACAGTAAGCCCAAGAGGAAGGTGATGCTCACAGCCGACGCACAATTGGAAGATATGGACGATACCACGCTGAGTATTACGCCAGCTCTGGACGAGAAGCCGTGGATGCTTCGAGCTCGAGATACCACCACGAAGCGACGTTGGCTCGTGGCTCTGTCGGACTGTATCGACATTCTCGTGTGGCTACGACACTACAAACTCGGAGCTGTACTGGGTGTAGGCGGCAACGGCGTCGTACAGAAATTGGAGGACGAACGTGATGGTACAGTGTACGCAGTCAAGGTGTTGGATGTAGCCAAGTTCCGAAACCGCGAACAAGTGGTGGCAGAGGTGGAGATCTTACGCAACATCACGAACAACATCCAACATCCGAATCTCATCAGGATCCACAAGGTTTACGAAGAACATCAGAAGGTTTATATCATCCAAGAAATGTGTACGGGCGGAGAACTGTACGACCGGATCGTGCAGCGCGGTAAGTATTCGGAAACCGACGCTGCCGACATCATGCGACAACTAGTGTCAGCTTTACAAGCTCTGCACGCACACAACATCCTTCACCTGGACATTAAACCAGAGAACATTTTGTTCTCGTCCGAAGACGCAGATTCCAAGATCCTACTCACCGATTTCGGACTTGCTCGGATGATCAACGGCAAGCAGAACCCTCTGGATCAAGGCAAGACGATGGCTGGTACCATCGGATACATGGCTCCGGAGGTCATTTCGTCCCACGCGTACAGCGAGGCCGCCGATGTGTTTAGTGCCGGCGTCATTCTCTTCATCTTACTAGTGGGCTATCCGCCTTTCTTCGGCGATTCCGAAGTGGAAGTCTTGCTTAAGATTGCTAGAGGCGACTTCACTTTCGATCCGCGAGATTGGGCACACGTCTCTGGATCGGCCAAGGAGCTGGTGGCGCGTATGCTTGAAGTGCGTGTGCAAGACCGTATCACCATAGACGAGGTGTCAACGCACCCGTGGATCACACGAGACGTTTCTAACCAAGATGAGCACGAAGAAGACCGTGACCTCAGTGCCAGTATGATGACGAAGCTGCAACGCTTCAATATCGACCGCAAGTCTCAGAACATGGGGACGTTCATGGCTTCACTGCTTCTTGACGACAACGAAGCAGATTTCCAAGTGCTTGTGGATGAAAAAACTGTGGAAATGATGATCCGACAGCTCTGTGTTCAAGGCCACAACCGGATCCCACTGGATGGAGCTCATGTGATAGCAAAGGGACTTGGCTTGTCGCCGTTTATCGACGAGAAATCTTTCGTGCAGTTTCTGGATCAAGACCACGATGGCTTCATCAGTGCCAGCGACTTTTGCGCCGGCGTTCGTGCACTGCGGAGTCACCACGAGTCGTTCGCTAGAATGGTTTTCTCGGCGATACAGAAAATGTACGCACTCGAAGAGAAGAGTGGTCCAAAGGAAGAAACTGTACTTACACGCGAACACTTCGTCGTGGCGTTCTCAATACTGGAATGTCCGGAACCACTCGTCGAGGTTTTTTTCAAATATATCGATGAAGAAGAAGAGACGCAAACCAACTTGTGGGCGGTGAACGAAGCCGAGTTCGCGATTCTCTTCACGCAGTTCTCTTTTCTCGGTATGCTCTTCCTACGGACAGCTAAAGACAACGTGATGTCGATGGTCAAGTCGCACAGTGTCGATGGCATGCCACGTATCTCCGAGACGTCCTTCTGCTCCGCATAAGACAACAAAAACTCAATAGACTTTTAACGTATTTCTCTCAAAACTTGGCGTCCAATTTCATTAACCTCTTGTGTCCTTATACTTCTCCAGACACACAAGATTTAAGGTTGTCTCCTTACGTCGTACTGACCTTGGCAGGTGTGGACGGAGGAGTCGTCTGCTTGATATCAGCGTCAGGTTCGGCGTCCAGCACTCGATCCATCCAGGCTTTAACACGAGGCAACGCGTACTTGTAGCCAACTTGGATGATCTCATCTTTCTTGTTGAACTCCAGAGTGCCATAGTCTTTGACAGGAGGACGCAAGTACAGATCAACGCACTCTTCCTTGATGCGGTCTTTGTGCTGCTCTGACGACACGTACGCCAATGCCGCAGACACGTCACCCATAGACGGCACCGCCACTGTCTTGGAGAACGGATTGAGCTTGTTCCAAAGCAGCCACCAGCCCGACAAGGCACTTCCGTAATCGTACCAATCCGTGCACGACTCGCTGGCCACGTCCACGGCGAAAATATACTTGATGCCTCCTTCCTCCTTCATGACATCAGCAGGAAGATTGTTCATGTAGCCTCCATCCAGTAGCAACGAGCCGTTCTCCGAGATTGGAGGGAAATAGCCTTGTAGACTCATCGACGCACGCACATATTTCCACGCTGGACCACTGCGATGGACACTCATACGGGACTTGGCGATGTCCGTGGACACGCAGAAGTAGTTAAGCATGAGATCTTCAATCGACAAGTCGTAGAAGAGCGCACGGATACTCTGGTTGAAGCGACTGCCATTGAAGAAGGAGGAAATGGGCAGTGTGAGGTCTCGTAGCTTCTCGAAGATACTGCTAAGACCTGCCGATAACTGCTGCACTTTCGACTCCACGAGGTCTAAATTGTTCGGATGCATCGCGTATATCCCGCCAATAAACGCGCCGATACTGGTACCACCAACGACATCTACATGGATACCACACTCCTCAAGTGCGCGGAGTACACCAATGTGTGCTAAACCTCTCGCTCCACCGCCTCCGAGCACTAAACCGACGGCATTTCCAGTGATTCGACGACTTAGACGCATGAAATCCGAGCGATGGTCTTCAAACGGAACTTGGACGTTGTGGAAGCCACTGATCCACTCGTATTTCTCCATCGGGAGGATGAAACGCGGCAGCAACGGACTGTCCATCTGCAGTCTCAATCTCTTCTTTAACGCATAGGAACGTGATGATCCCTTCGCCTCCAGCTTCGCAGCAGCGTCGATAGCCGTCAGCGTCCAGTCCTTTTCACGGATACGAACGACACTGATCTCGGCGTCTCTCTTGTCCCATGCATCCTCCAAAATCGACACCATGTCGCTCACAAACGCTTGTTGAGGATGTGTGTCCGAGCAGAGCAGTAAGATGTGATCTGCTTGACGTAAACAGAGCTTCGTCCACGCTGTTAATTGCTGATCAGCCTCGTAGATTACCAACTCGTTGGTACTCTCAATATCTCCCATCCAGGTCGAGAGATTAGCTCTGGCCACACGAGAATTACTGATCCACTGCTCTCCTAGAAACGCCTTGGCTTTCTGCGACGACACGGTTTCCACTTCTGCTAGCGTCTTCAGCGACATCTCCAAGTGCGAACAGAACGTCTGGATCTTCGTCATCTTCGTCAGCGAGAGAACAGCAATAGTACCCAGTGGCAGATTGCTGCCTGTCTTCTGACCATCAGTAGTTGTCGCACTGGAGCCCAGAGACAGCAGATAGTTACTGCGAGACTTTGCGCCAGTCACATCAGTCTTCTGTGATTCCACACGAGGAGTTGGCATTCGACGAGCCAAGTTCTTCGTGAAATGAATTAGCACGGACGGGTATTTACTCACCACATAGTCGAACACATTACGCGACATCTGCGAGATCTGCGAGTCACGGATCGCGAACACCGATGAGTTACTGGGTCCAGCTGACAGCATGTCCATCGCACCAAGCGTGGCTCCACGCACGAGTTCATTACTCGTTTCCACTTCCTTGCCACGATGCGAATGCACCTGAACAGCTCGAAGTCGACCACTAATAACCGTGAACACTGAATCGCACAGATCTCCACGATCAAACAGACTTTCGCCACTGTGAAGATGCAGCCAATCGAACGACGTGTCGGCCATACACACCAGCTCCGAGTACTGTGCCAGCAAGTGTCGTGTGCATTTCACAGCCACAGAATTCATCTGCAATAGGCTGCAGAAGAGAGCGTCAGGGATCCACAACAGCGTCGTGTCTTCAAGACAAACATGGCGTGTACCGACGTAATGCGAGCCCACAAAGCACGTCGCGATCCCCACTTCACAGCCTTTTGTAGCCTTGTACAGCTCTGCATACTTCTGCGGCGTTAGAGCGACCTGAACACTAACCGCTCCGGACAGTACAACATGAACACCCAACGCACTCGTACTGTCGCCAGCTTCACGGATCGTCTGCTTCTTAGTGCGTTTAATAATCTTCGCGCAACTAGCGAATGTCGAACGTAACTCTGCGTCATATAACCCAATAGAATCTGCCACATTGTCCACGATCTCGTTGACCGACGCGTTCTCCGTCTCTTGTGTCAATAGTGGAGCCACGTTGATGATCTCGGATGATAACCCGAAGTGATCGATCAGAGACTTGGACGTGATCTTCTCCACTTGGATTAAAGCTGCTTGGGACAGTCGGTAGAGCGCTTCGGGGTATTTTTCCAGCACCTTTTTGATCGCTAACGTCGGGATTTTAAACAGCCGCGTACCGTCCTCTTGTGCGCGTGCAGATAAATTCCCGCATACTTTCTTCACGAGGTCGCTGCATTCTCCGTCGTGTAGCTCGTTTACTAGGACGGTAAGTAAAGGTAAAGATGACGTGAGGGTGTCACCACGTCCTAATAACTTGGAGAAACTCTGCTCTTCGTTGTCTCCGTGGATTGTAAGGGACGCTGACCCGTTGACGATCATGAGGATGGAGCCATCGAGTTGCCCCTTCTCGAAGATCGTCTCGCCTTTGGAGAAGCGTAAGATACGCAGATCTCGAGCTAGAGGCTCGACAAATTCGCCGCGTAGGAAGGAGAAGACTTTGGATAGTGTATCGTAGATAAACTTGAGGTTCTCTGGCCCGTAGTTCTGACGTAATTCTCTAGGGAACGTGATATGGTCTTCTAGTTCTAGTTGGCGGTTATCCTGCATACGCTCACGTTCAGCTTGTAGCAGGTCGGAGAAGGACTTGGAATGTCTCGAGCTGTGACGCAGACGCTTTGATGTAGGCGACGGAGGCTTCTCGGCCTTGGGCTGCGTCTTACGCGGTCGCACTTGGCGAGACGCAACCCACATGAACAGTACGCCGAGCAACAGCGCGACAGCTACAAGTGTGGCCACACCACCCACTGCGTACGGATTTTGCTCTTCGACATGGCCGCGTACATCAGCTGCTAGACGAGACGTCTTGTGCGCCGCCTTGGCGCCGACGCGCGTGAAGATGGCGAGTCGTAAGCGTAGCCACGTCCACAAGTCGGACGTGGCGAGGCCTGCGAGCCGTGTGAGCTCCAGTGACATGCTGGGTAAACTCAGAGTGTCCATGGACAGACGTGAGATCTCAGCCGACGAGATGAGTCTCTTTTTTCTTCTAGCACTCTGCCACTTGCGCTTCAGCCAGCAAATTCTCGACTGAGCACTTTTAACGCCGCTCGGGGATAAAAGTCGTGTCTCAGCGAGAGCGTCAAGACGAACACTGCCGTGTACAGCTTCGTGTGTCGTAGCAGCTTGATAAATGAAGTGGGTGGTAAAGCTTGGTTGTACCTGGTCGGGTGGACTGTATTACTTCAAAACAAGTACATTTGTCAATTTTCTTGCAAAAAGGTAACCTCTATTATAAAACATATCAGAGAAGGACCTCCCGCGTTTTAACGACTTTTTGACTCATTTTTTCGGCCAGCCACTCAAACTCCATGGACGGGAAGGCTGCACAGCTTGTGGCGCGCTACGACCGCCTGATCGCGGCGTTGGGCGAGGACGCGTTCAAACCTTCTAGCGGAGTGTGTGCGCGAGTGGAGGACGCTTCTGCTGCTGTTGCGGAGGTTGAGAACGATGAACAGAGACAGAAATTGCTCAACGAGGCCACAGACAAATGTATGCGCTGTGCCGATCTCATTGCTAAGAGTCTAGAGGCGTCTGCAACGCTTGCTAAATTGCAAAAGACACTGAAGAATGCGTACGATAACAGCCAGAATGGACACAATGACGAAGACGAAGATATGGAGAGCGAGGAGGACGAACAGTACGACACGTCCACCACTTTGTTGCTGCAGGACCTCGTGGCGGCTGGCGACGAGGCCGAAGACGCCGCCAAGAAGTATGCACGACTGGGCGTCGTACGAAAGACCGCGCGTGCGAGCCACGAGCTGCTAGCGTCGGCTGAGCACGATCTAAACGAGCACTTGGCTAGTGAGTCGACGACGCCTGGAGATGCCGTCATGCAGAACGAATTCCAGCAGCTGTACATGGACGAGTTCACCACTGCGTTTGGCGACGAGCTGGACCAGTTCCGTCAGGAGGAACGCTTCGAGAGCAAGGATGTGACCTATTTAATCTCCTGCATCCACGCAGGCGGCGACATCTTCACACCACTGCAGAAAAAACTCTTCGTTGAAGCAAGTCGAACAACAGAGTAGGGAACGGAGCAATACAAAGCGATAGAGCGTTAAAATGCATGTGTTTGTGTTCCCCCCTTTTTAACTACAAAGTGCTTGTTGTACTGTAGTAATTTGCTTTTGAACAGTAGAGCAAACAGCTTAGACACGCAGGTTGATCTTGCGTTTGGTCGCTCTCGGCATCTTCCTGGTGCTTTTCCGTCCCGCTGTTACATGAGACTTGACGGTGGGGTAGTACGAGTCCATGGGGCGTTCACGCAGCTCACGCTTTTGACGACGGGTGCGTCCGGCATTCGCTTGGCCAAAGAAGTCTGCAATCCACTCGACCATGCCCTCTCTACCGCCCTTCAGCAGTTCGATACCCTTACTAAAGAGAGGATCCACAGCCATCGGTGGACCATTCGTGCTGTTATTGGGAGGCGACATCTTCACCGACACCTGTTCATTCTCCGACTCACTCTCCTCATCAGTGGACGCTACACGTCGATAGAAGTAGCACTGGTGTCCCTCACTTGAACCTGCCATGGACGTCGCCACTCGTCCGACATTCTCTACAGAAAACCCGTACATGTCCACGACTTTACGTGGTGCATGGAAACTGGCAAAGTACTTGGCTGAACTGCGGTTGAACATATCGGCCATCTTGTCCATCACGTCCGGCGGGAATCCCACATCGAAACTATACACGTGGGAGAAGGGTTCGAACGAGTGCGCGTGTGTGATATCTCCCGCTGTGAATACCGTCGCTAGAGGTTTCTTGCGTTGCGAGTCCAGTGACAAGACGCTGCGTAGGTTGTGCAGTGACAGATGCCAACGAAGTTCCTCAAGTTCGATGCCGTACGAGACCTGTACGCCAGGGTCCACAGCTACGTGGAAATTGGGCTTGCCCAGTCCTGATCCCACATCGATGAAGCGGCTGCTCTTGGAGAGTTCGCACTTCTCCTTCATATAGTCAACTACTCTTTGGAACGACGCTTGAGTGATCTCTCCGTAGATGGCTCCACCGGCTGCGTTGCCACCAAGACTTCCCGTCTGCTTACGGATTGCCTTGTATACTTCAGATACCTCATGCTCCGTGAAGGTTCGCTGGACTTCTCGCTCACGGACGTCGGCCAATGGCGTCACTTTGCCGGGCGTGCCAATAGACAGCCGCGTCCTCTTCTTGTTGGAGGCGGGTGTCGTAGCATTGCTGCTTGGCTGTGTGCTGGGACTCTTACGCTTACGGCCAACGGTGGAGCTTCCCGGGGTCTTAGGGGGCTTGTCACCCGCAGCTGATGGCGACGACATCGGACGCTTCTTGAGGGCGTCGCCGCGAGTGGGGGACAGGAAAGGGCCCCCGGATGGCTGCGGCGACATGACCGCCATCGAAGCTGTTGAATAAGACCCTAGGGCTCAATGGACCAGTTTAAAATTCAAAGCGCACCTAAACCCGTGGGTAGACACAAAAAAAACATTTGTAGCCCGTGGGTTTTTCGACAGCTGGTGTCTTGCACACATTTCATGTGGCGCACATAGTCGTAATCAGTGCATCATCGCAACTTCGACACCCGTTGCATCTCTCAAGTAGCTCTTCGTTCTCCTTCTTCTCTACGACCAATGAACCTCTCTACCTCTCGTGCAATTATCCTCCACCCATTGGTCGCCCCCGTGGGTGGTGCCCTGTCGCCCAATTCTCGCGCCGTGGCCGAGTGGCTACGCTCGTTGAGCCCTTGTGACGTCCCCAACGTAGACAAACGTCCGTTGAGCCTCTTGGACTTCACTTGCGATGAGAATGTCCACGTCGTGTTGAGCTTCCTAGACGGTCCGTCGCTTTGCTCAGCACGCAGTGTGTGCCGCTCTTGGCGCCACCTGAGCAACGACGACGCGCTGTGGCTTGAGCTGTGCCTCCATGAGTTTCACGTGTCGCCCGAGCAGCTCAAGTCGCAACCTGAGAGCTATCAGAAGCTCTACCAGTTCGCCTGCCGCTCACTCAAGACGCTACTTCGTGACTATCTGCACGAACAGTGTCTCACCAATCTGCAAAACTCGCTGCGAATCCCGCGGGCCGCCGCCATGACGCTCATCGCGTCGCGCTCGTCCGTGTGATCTGCGTTGACTGCGAGGCTAGAAGCGGTACTTTGTGCTTCGAGCAAACATACGAAATACTTCATGCAAAAAGAGGGAACTACAATACAAAAACATCAATGAGAAGAGCCTGTTTTCTTAACTTTCCTGCTCGTCTTCGTCAGATAAACTTACTAGGAAAGAGCCGTTTGGCTATAAGATGACGAGCCACAGCACGGAACTCTGTCTCTTCAGATGACAACTCAATGTGTGGTTGTCGTCTACTACTCCTGCTCCTGGTCGAGCCAGTCGATGCCCAAATAATACCAGTGGCAGCTTGCTTGTTTGTTCCTAGATTTCGACGTGTTGCTGATCGCTAATGGCAGACTGCAGTGATGAAATTGGGCATGTTTTAGTGGCAGCTTGAGGTGAAGTATGCACAGAGAAAATTGTCTGGAGGAGCGTTGTCTCGGGTGCTGTTCAGCTACATGTAGTGCTTCCTTCAACCGACTGCACAGACTCGAAAATTTCGATCTCACTCTTAAAATCGATGGCTGCCACCCTTTCAGTACGATGCAAGATGAGTGGCATCTGGTGTTGGGTATAGCGACAGTTGGCTCACGCTTTAGCGCTTCAATTCGCTCTTGACATTCAATTTAAAGCCAGATAACAAAAGTACAAAATTCAAATAGAGAACCTACGTGCAGTGCTGCCTCTCGGTCCCCGTGCATCAATGAAATTTTGATCTAGCAAAACCTTTTGACGTTGCAGTCGATCGCTCCAATATCCGCGAAGTCTCGATCCCAAACTTCAAAGTCAATGAAATCTCCGACAAGAAGATCAAGAACACCAAGAGGACTTGCGACCTACAAGACTGCATCGTGAAGAAGACTGCAGAAAGATTTGAAGCGACGTGGTCTCTGCTGTTGCGAAGTCGAGCATGTCTGTCTCGCCCATCTTGTTGTCACCCCTGGCACTAAGTACAATAGTGCTAGCAAATGAAGAAACGTTCTGTTCATGTAATACTATTAATAATAAATAGTATGAACTCCTCATTTGCAAAATAATCAGTAAACAGTAAAAGTAACGAAGCCGCGGTTTTCATATTGTTTCTTGCTTGTCGTACGCTTCATCGGAAGTTCCGAATTTCGGAACAATCAGCCCAAGTTGCGACCCGGACGAGGAGTGAGTTCGCAGACCAACATAATTCATTTTCCCACCCGCGATCCCTCCACCTTCGCAAAAATTGAAGCCAACGACTTCCATGGCGATAGCAGCGCCGTACCAAAACCGCAAAGGAGTCCCGATCCGGAACGTTCAGTAGCACAAGCACGTCTCGCTGCACGCGCGATAGCTGTAGCAGCAACGAACTTTCGTTAGTTAATGCGAATACAAGACGCTTGCCTTTAAATCTTACCTGCACGGCGCAGTCTCTCATTAAAATGTTGGGTTTCCTGTCGATGCTGGCGATACAGGCGCTTGACCCGCTCTGGAGGATCCAGGATCATATGGATTTCATCATGCGGGAAACAATCCGCGCGACGAAAGTCAAAGTTGCACGCGAGGTCTCTGAGATCCACCTTGTTCTCCTCGGTTAATAGTGCCCGTATGGAGTCTGGAAACTCACCCCACACGAACAGATCAACGTCATAAGAGTCACTTCGCAGCCATTTGCCATCTCGCTTCGCCAGATAGAGCGTCAGCTCATCCACCCCATACAAATAAGGCTCGCGTGACTCCAGCATTTGCTTTGCCAAGTCACGGAAAGTTGTAGTCTCGTTGTCCTCAAAATCGATATGCCTCTATCGACAGTCACGACACGCATCCTCTTCATCATTCCGGATGAACAAATTGTTCAATGCCGTTAAAGGCTTGCAGGTCAAAATGCATCGTTTTACAGAAAATAAAATACGTTATTATGTTATTGTTTTCAGGCTCATTATTTTGGATTGCAATACAGGACTACATGTAGTCAATAATATGGTACTTTGACCAATTACTGCAATAAAAAAACCCTCACAATTATTGCTACTAAAATGTTGAAAGACCATTAGTATTGCAAAATAATTTTATAAATTAGAAAATATTGGGGAAGAAGAAGCAATAATAAGTTTTCCGTACAAAGATGCAACAGTTATTCGATTGATATTACTTTTGCCAACTTCTGTTTTTCACACCATATGAGCCAATCATGGCCAATGTGTACACATGTATCTATTTATATCTTGACCAGAAGTATTGACGTTCTCAATATCCCATACACGCACCGAGACATGCCATGACACCAGTGAAATCGCATTTCAAGGCAAGTCTCACCTCCTGAAGACACGAGAAATCTACTATCTTACCCTCGACGCTCATGTTGACAGAAAAAACAAACGACTTGTAGGACTATGAGCACATCTTACTAAAAAGTGTTTTGCACCATTGATTCAATGGCATTGAAGCCATTTCAAATCCATCAGCTGCAAAAAAAAGTTGCTATTTGAAGCATTTGGCCTATTAACCCAACATAGAGGCATTGTGTGGAAGGCACATCGATGACCACCGTGAGGGTGGCCTGCCTAGATTGACTTGACTTTAGTTACGCAGAATGTACGTTCACAGGCGGTTGCTGACCCAGCAACCTGCCTCTTGTGAGCGCAGTATTGGGGTATTATCAGTCGAAATTGCACTTTGCGATGCGTACAATGCGACTGCAACAACCTTGTTCTGGGTCGGCGTTTGCGGCGATCTCAAACGTCCCATTGTTGTCGAGGCGCTGGCTGTAGACTTTTTCGGCGCGATCCTGGTAGTCGACGTACTTGCCACCGATTCCCGCCAGCGCGGATAGGGCCCAAACGACCACACGAAGGATGGTCTTTGTGGTGATGGAAGTCGTCAAAGATGCCTCGGATGAGGTTTGCATCCACTGAGTACAGGTACACGCCCACGAAAAAAGCTGCAACACCGAAAACAATGTTCCAGCCTGTACCGCATCGAGACGACCCTGGGAGACACAGCAATTAGTCTTAGTGCTAAAGCGGGTTTGTCGGACGAGATGTAAACCAACCTTCTGCGCCTTCCATCTTGTTACAAAGCTCTTTCTTCTCAAGAAATTCCTGCAAGCTCTCCTTCACGTACTCGGGCACATTCAGAACAAGGTCATGATATGGGTCGGCCTCTGCAGTTGCGAAGTTGAAGCTTAACAGCTTGTCTGTCTTATCCATTCTTTTGCCACCTCCCGTCACTGATGGCCCCAGGTCTTTGACGCCATGCATGAAGTCCACGACATCCGGATCCGTGCGTTTTAGCCACGACACTTTCATCGACGCACGTCCAGGGTGCATCGCAGCTGATAACCTCTGTGAAGCACTATCGTCAATGTCGTCAGCGGAGTCCTCTTTGCTGCAGCCTTCAGTTGTAAAACTCCAGCTTGAAGAATCCTTCTGCCTTTGCGCTAGATAGAGGGTCCACGTGTATTTTTTTTCGGCGCTGATCTTCTCCTGTGTGACAAAGGCTTTGTCCTCCTGGCAATCTTCTTCACGATGCAATCTCGTAAGTCGCACGCATTATTGGTGTCCTTGATCCTCGCAGTGATGATGACCGGAAAGCCTTCGATCGCGCACTTCAAAGTCAATGCCATGCCAAGCTGGAGACTTTAAGAACGAGACTGCCCTCAACACGCAGGAGTGTTTACATCAAGCTGTATTTTGCCGCCGACTCGAAAAGCGAATCGAGGATCCAAATCCGCCATTCTGGCTCCCATGAAACGCTTGCGCAAAACGTCAACAAGACCCAGTGCATGATTCACTAGGTATTAGTACTTGAAGTGAATCGGATTTACTGAATCCGATTCAATTCAAGTACTAAATTCAACTTACCGTTATAATATTTACCGGTATTAAAATACTACATGTACTTTGAAGAAGTACTTGCAATAAAAGTACTGTTCTGTACAGTACTGCACCCCGTTTTTGCGCCCTTGGACTTTTAATAAACTTCCGGATGTGATGATCCTAAATCCAAATATACGATTGTTTGTTTGCTAAAATCTGATTTTTTTGCAAATCCGATATAATCCACCCCCGTGACAACGGGGTGCAGAGCTGTACATGTCTGGTGAAAGCATCAATAAACCTCATTTTGCAATATATTGAGCAAAATGCTTAAGTAGCCAAATCTGGGCTTTCATGTTTCTTGCTTACGCTTCACCAGGGCATTCGGTTATTGGGGTATTATCAGTCGAAATTGCACTTTGCGATGCGTACAAATGCGAATGCAACAACCTTGTTCTGGGTCGGCGTTTGCGGCGATCTCAAACGTCCCATAGCTGTCAAGGCGCTGGCTGTAGACTTTTTCGGCGTGATCCTGGTAGTCGACGTACTTGCCACCGATTCCCGCCAGCGCGGATAGGGCCCAAACGACCACACGAAGGATGGTCTTTGTGGTGATGGAAGTCGTCAAAGATGCCTCGGATGAGGTTTGCATCCACTGAGTACAGGTACACGCCCACGAAAAAAGCTGCAACACCGAAAACAATGTTCCAGCCTGTACCGCATCGAGACGACCCTGGGAGACACAGCAATTAGTCTTAGTGCTAAAGCGGGTTTGTCGGACGAGATGTAAACCAACCTTCTGCGCCTTCCATCTTGTTACAAAGCTCTTTCTTCTCAAGAAATTCCTGCAAGCTCTCCTTCACGTACTCGGGCACATTCAGAACAAGGTCATGATATGGGTCGGCCTCTGCAGTTGCGAAGTTGAAGCTTAACAGCTTGTCTGTCTTATCCATTCTTTTGCCACCTCCCGTCACTGATGGCCCCAGGTCTTTGACGCCATGCATGAAGTCCACGACATCCGGATCCGTGCGTTTTAGCCACGACACTTTCATCGACGCACGTCCAGGGTGCATCGCAGCTGATAACCTCTGTGAAGCACTATCGTCAATGTCGTCAGCGGAGTCCTCTTTGCTGCAGCCTTCAGTTGTAAAACTCCAGCTTGAAGAATCCGTCTGCTTTTACGCTAGATAGAGGGTCCACGTGTCTTTTCCTTCGGCGCTGATC